TTTTTTGAGACATCTCACACTAATTTCCATAATGGTTGTATAGGTTTCCATCCCCACCATGAATGTTGGAGGGTTCCTTTTTCACTGCAGCCATACCAAAATTTTTTAGTTTTTGACTGTTTGATGGTTGCTATTCTTTCTGGTGTAAGATGGAATGGTCACAGTATTTTAATTTGCATTTCTCTAATGGCCAAGGATATTGAGCATTTTTTCATTTGTCTGTTGGCCATTGGTAGTTCTTCGCTTTGAGAACTTTCTCTTCATTTCACTTGCCTGTTTCTTGATTGGGTCTTTTATTTCAGGTGGTCTAATTTTTTTGAGTTTTTAAAAATATTCTAGGTATTAGTCCTCCAAGGTGTAGCTCACAAAGTTCTTTTTCTCATTCTGTATGTTGTCTCTTCACTCTACTAAGAGAATTCCTTTTTATACCTTTGACTTCAAGTGTTTTAACCTATTTTATCTCCCAGTAGGTTTGATGTTTCCATTGTAATGTTTTAAATCTTTGATCCATTTTGATTTTAGTTTAGCACATGGTGAGAAATACAGATCCACGTTCAATCTTCTGCAAACAGATACCCAATTTTTCTAGCACCATTTATTGGATAGACTGTCTTTCCTCCCACTTTTGGCTCCTGTATGAAAGATCAAATGGCTAAATGTATACATGGATGCTTTATATCCTCTATTCTGTTCCTTTGTCCCACAAGTCTGTTGTTGTACCATATGGTTTTTATCACTATTGGCTATCGTAGCCTGAAATTGGGTATTGTGATGCCTCCTGCTTATTTGGGGGAATATCTTAATGAATCTCTTGACAAAAATATATTACGTATTTCCATTAGTTTTGTCTTTTAAAAATTAATGATGTTTTTTATTGCATATTTTCTGATATTATTATAATGGTGTTTAATTCTAATTTCCAGTAGTTTACTACAGTATATAGAAATACAGCTGTTATTAAATTTACACTCAGTGAACTTGTTAAACTCACTTAAGAGTTCCAGTACCTTTTTATACATTCTGTAGAATTTTCAGTGTTCACAGTTGTGTTCTTTGTTAATTAGAAAATCAGATTTACATATTCCTTTCTAGTCCTTTTCTCCCCTCCTATGCTTCCTCCTTTCCTTCCTCTTTCTATTTGCTTGTCTTATGGCACTGGCTGGACTACCAGTACCTTGTTGAATGCAGGTGGAAAGAGTTGGCATCATTTCTTTGTTTCCAAAATCAGGACAAAGCATTATCTAGTTTTTCACAGATGCCCTTGATTAGAATGAGCAAGCTACTTCCTAGTCACTGTTTGCTAAACCTTTCTGTCACTAATAGTCAGTGAGTGTTGGAAAATTCTTTATGGCCTCTGTTGAAACAGTTGTATTTTTCCCTTTGCTGTTTCCTGTGGTAAATTATATTGCTTTGATTTTTTAAATGTTAAACCAAATTTGCTGTCCTAAGGGAAACTTCTTGGTTATGGTAAATTTCTGTTTTATGTAGAATTGGATTTTTTTCTAAAATTTGTTAAGAATTTTGTATTTGTGAAGAATGTTGTTCTACAGTTCCATCCTTCCTTATAATTAGGAGATTAAAACTTATTTCTTGTGTTGAGTGATGCTCCCAAATCCACTATTTTCTTGAAGTTTGTATAGAGGCATCATTTTATTCTTCAGTGTGTGATACAATTCACCTATAAATTCTTTTTTTTTTCTTTTCTTTTTTTTCACCTATAAATTCTTAGAAGGTTTGGAATTTGGGGGAGATTTTAATTATAAATTTAATAACTTGGATAAACTTGTGGTTATTTTGATTTTCTTTTATGTCATGACTCAATTTGGGAAATTTCTGATTTTCAAGGAATATGTGCATTTCACATGTTGTGAAATTTATTTATTTAATAATATTTATAGTAATGCTTTTATCTTGTTGATATTTTTAGGATTTGTAATAATATCTGATCTTTTATTCTTTTTTTTTTTTTTTTTTTTGGGTACTGGATATTGAACTCATTACCTTGTGCTTGTCTGGCAGATACTGTGCTACTAAGCTATATCCCCAGTCCCTGATCTTTTATTTTTGGCTTTGGTAATTTGTGTTTTTTTTCTTGTTCAGTCTTAGTCATGGTAAATCAATTTCATTGATCTTTTCAGATTTTTGTTTCATTCATTTTCTGTTTTGCTTGTGTTCTTTTTTATTGGTTTTCCCTGTAATCATTATTTCCTTTTCCATTTCCATTAGCTCCTTTTAAATGGCTTTTTGTATCAGTTACTAATGTGGGCACAAAATCCTGATTTGTAGATTTTTCACATTTCATAATATTAGTACTTAAGATAATACGTGTCAGATTATCCAAAATATCACTTCAGTTCCATCTCCAAATTCTTTTATGCTGTTTTCATTCAGTTTAAATTTGTTCCTAATTTCTTTGGTGACTTCTTTGATTTATGGATTATTTAAAGGGATATCATTTATTTTCCAAATATTTGAAGATTTGGTAGATAATTCTACTACTGGTTATAATTTAATATTTTGGTTAATGAACCTACTCTGATATTTCTGGCTTTTTAAATTTATTGAAATATGCTTTGGATTTCACATGGCCAGTTTTGGTGATATTTGGTGACAATAAAAAATAAAGTACATTCAGTTTGGGGCAGGACAAGTTAATTAGGTCAAATCATATGTTGCAGGTCTTCCATATCTTTAGTGATTTTTCTCTCCACTTGTATTTGAGAAATACTGACAGTGTAACTCTCGGTTTGTTAATTGACGTTATTCTGTTTATACTTTGTGTATTTTGAAGCTCTTAGTGCATGTATACATATTGAGGATTATAATTTTTGTGTGTGTGAGAAGTAACTTCTTTGTATTGATCCAAGTTTGTATCCACTTCAATATCATTTTGTTCCTCCAAAAGAATTTCTCTTCATTCCTTATAGTGCATATTTGCTGGACAACCCCATGCAGATTACTAGAGCTCTTTATCTTTGTCTAAAACACCCAACTGCCTTAGTGTCCATGTTGATCTCCATCCCTTCAAGACAAGCCATCAGGCTTTCTTTAATTTGCTTCTCCTAGTATGGGTAACTCTTAAAATTGCCTCCAGGCAGCAGGCCAGTGTGATGATAATAGTGTTACTGGTCTCTGGTGTGCTGGGGACTCCTTTTAGAGATTCTTCTCGAGACTCCTTCTGTCCTGCACAAAGATAGTACAAAAGATAGCTAGGTTTTACTTCAATTAAAGGTAGGAAAAGAAACATGCTCTGCAGAAGTGTAGGCCAGTTAAAAGTAGGGAAAGTAATAGAACCTACAGGGTGAGAGTGGACTACTGTGAGAGGGAGCATGGTCACCACAAGGAAAATGGTGATCATCTTTTTGTCTTCTACTGCTCACCCTGACATCAGGTCTAGGCCAGCCTATCAAAAACGTGCTCCAGTTCTTGCCAGAAGAATTGAAGATCGAATTCTCTGATTGGTTCCAAGCACAGGGTTTTGAGAACTGTTCTGTTCAAGTGTCCAGGAGCTCTGTGATCAATAGGTCACCCCAATTCCCCAGCCCGTTTGCCACACCCTAATCTAATTTGGTTTTTCTTTTAGGGATTACACCATTCCTGGGCTGTTAGCCAATATTTAAATTCATATTCGTTTAACATATTTTGTTTGTTTTCTAATTGTTTATGGGAATAAATTTAAGTGTGTGCTTGTTAGTCTATTATACCTGAAAGCCCTTCAAGTAAATTTGTTTTTCTTTTCTTTTGGGGGCTGCTGCGGGGATTGAACCCAGGGCCTCTTGCATGCTAAGCCTGATCTCTATCACTGAGCCCTTCAGGTATTTTTTAAATAAAGGATAACATCAGAAAGGTTAACATAATAATCATTATAAAGTGAACTATATACCATTATATTATTGCTTATATAAGTTTGATGACAAACCTTTTACAAATACACAGTGAGACAATTGTGAAAATATAATACCATGTATAAAATATGTAAATAAATTATGAGTTCTATTTTATTAAAATTAAGTATAAAAATCATTAAAATTATAGAATGAATTAAATTTAATACCATATCAAACAGATAGTGTTTGTATCAAGATTTATACCGAGTATATAATTAATTCATGGATATGTTGATTTTATAATCTGTATTTGGCACCTGAAATTATTTGTCTTTCCCAGCAAAATAGTGATAGAATTCAAAATATTATTAATGATTTATCTTACAAATACTTCCACATTATTAATCCTTACTAGTATGATTTTTATTAATATGTATTTTCTTGAAAATCCATAAATCTAAAAGTGATTCTCATCTCTTATTTCACAAAATGCTACTTAACTTTCAGGGCATAACCTAGCAGTGGAGTGTTTCCTTAACCTGAGGCTCTAGGTTTAATATCCAATACTGCAAACAACAACAAAAAATACTTGAAGACTAATGACAGCTAAACTCATTATGTTTAATGTCATTCCATAAGAAAAACCATGAAATGTAAATAGTGTTATATTCAAGATTGCTGTATGTTAAATAACTTAAAGTGAGATCCTGCTATTTATAGCCAGAATTGAAAAATATATAAGGAAAGTTCAAATAAATGGAAAAGAATTAACATTGATCAGATTTGTATACAAACTTTCTCTACTTCTTGGAAATATATGTTTATTTGCTATGACGTCAGTAATCTTGATTTCCTTGGCTTATTCCTGCAAGATTAAGAGTTCCTTTGAAGCCTGGATTTGTTTTTTTCCTGCTTGTCATTATCAGCACTTACTCAGTGTCTTCTGTCTGACAGCCATTCAGTAAATAGTATAGAGGAAGAAAAATGTAGTTTAATTTTGAAATGAAAAGCTGACAGTTTATCACTTTTAAAGAATGCACAAAAGGAACTGATTATGAAATTTTCATTAATAAAAATATATTTAATCTTCCATGATTGAACTGTGATAATAGAATCTTATGGTTGAGTCAGCTTTCTTACTCATTTTCATCTCACTTTATCATTTCAAAATAGGAAGTGAAGGTTCATTTTTGGTGAAAAAGAAATCAAGTTCAGTTAATGTAGGAGAATTGTACCGAGATCCTGTGTTGCAGCGTTCCTCTCCAAGTGCGCAGAGACATTCCAGTTCATTGGTAAGTTAGACTGCAATGATACTGTACGTTGGGCTGCTGACATCTTTTTTTAGAACTAAAATTTGCGATAAAACTAAGACTGATTGGTGTGGAATTCTCTGAGGTCTGAAAACTGAAAGAATAAATAAGATCCAAAAGTTAACAATAGACACAGTAAAGGGAAAGAAACTACTCAAAGGGAAATTATATTGTTTGATCAGTCTTGCATGCCTGTAACTGGTAGCCTGAGCAATTACTTTGAGGATAATAATATGCAGCATAGCAACCATTCTTAAATTCCTAGCATCTTTTGAAATCGTATATTGCCATTTTTTTGGCTGTTGTCATTTTGCTTTTGTTGTTGTTTCTTGATTTTTCTGTTCATTTCTCTTTAAAATAAATATATATATATGAGAAAACATATTAGATATAACTTAAATTTACATTCATAGATTTTTGTGCACATAGAGTATGAATGTATGTACTGACTGAGAGTACTTCAAAATTGTGTAATTCTGTTTTCCTATTACCAGACGAGGTCTGCAATAGGAACAGAAAGACCCTGAACCTGGAATAGCATATTCTCATTTTTCATCAAAATGCGTATTTTTTGCTTTAGGAATAATTGAATTTTTTAGTAATCATTACTTCTTATCTGTGTAACAACTATTTTTTTTTTTGATACTAGGAATTGAACTTAGGACTTTGCATTTGCCAGGCAAGTGCTTATGCCACTGAGCTATATCCCAGGAAATGTAACAACTAAGGAAAAACAGTGGCATATTTATATGTTTGCTAATTGCGGTCAGGAAAAGTAGAAGCCATTGCATTTTTCTCATAAATCAGTGTTAAAAATATGAAAGTTATTTTATATCTAAAGCAAAATGAATGACCATAGTGAAATAGGTTAATTTAGGCCACAGTGTTTTTTTATAGGCTGGTTCCAGTTTTCATTATTATCTTAGAAGTTGTTGTTTCATTGACCAAAGAAATTGTATCCATATGGCTTAGTATCTCAACCTCACTACTTTCCAGTTTCCTGATATTTAAAAGAAAGGAAAAATTACAGATGCTACATAAGGTCATTCTGACATAAAGATCTTTCATCTTCATGATTAGGTTTCTGTTTGCACTTTCCTATTTTTTTCCATAACTATAAGTGCTATTTTTCCATTAAAATTTTGTAATTGTTTCTATATTAAAATGTTCTCAAAAACTCACCAATAATATTTTAAACATCATTATTTGCTCAATAGGGGCCTATTTTTGATCATGAAGACTTTCTGAGGAGGAAAAGAAAACTATTGACTTCAGATGATTCCCTCAGTAAGTATTCAGAACTAATCATAAATAAGTAAATACCATGGGCAGAATATATTGCCTTGTTAAGGTTCCTCTGATTATTTAAATTTTCTTGGTGCCAGTTTCAGCATACATAACTATCATATGGACTTGCCTAGTGATTCCCTGGGCTACAGAAAAATGAAATATAATTGTAGGTTTTAAAAATTTTCCTTTTCTGAATACTATTGTATACTTACTTTTTTATGATTTTTCTGAAAATAATACCCCTATCAATGCCACTCTTTGTCTCATTGTATAGTGCTTTTGATTTTGTACACCATCTAATCAAATATTTTTTTATGGACTTTCCATGTCTTCCTTTGGAATGCAAGCTCCAGGGTCCAGTCTCTTACTGAGCCTCCAGTGAGACAGCCTGAACCTAGACGGTGTTTTGCAAACCTCTACCAAATACATTTAAATTGTGTACTTATATTTCTTTTGTTTGTTTGTGACAAAAGGGACATCAAAACTTCAGCCACATACAAGGCATTTGGACAGTGCTTCTTCAATGGCTTGTGAGAGAGAATATATTACATCTCTAGACCTTTCTGCCAATGAACTCAGAGATATCCATGCCCTGAGCCAGAAATGCTGCATCAGTAGCCATCTGGAGCACATCGAGAAGCTGGAGCTCCACCAGAATGCGCTCACAAGCTTTCCACAGCAGCTCTGCGAGGTAAGTTCCATGCATCCTTAGAAGATATCCTTCCACATAGTACACACGGCCATGGCACTGAGGCTTACCTGGCATGATTAAGTCTTCTGGAAGCAGACTCTGCTTTTATGTCGTGTGACAATCATTCCTCTCGTTCTCATTTTCATCCAATAGGCATCAGTGTGTGTGGTGTTCAGAGCCACCTCTGAGGATTAGCAATGGAAGGGAGATTGAAAAGAAATTCTGGGTCTGTCCTAGGACTTGTGGTTCATGTGGAAGTCTATCAAGGCTGCATGTTGATTATGCTCTCCATAACTTAATTCCAGGAGGTTAATGTACACTGTTTAAATTACATTAGACAGACTAGAATTAAACCCGTTTTGATAGTATTGGTGTCAATTTAGCTACCTGTTTTGGGCTTACATGTATTTGTTACTTTGCTTGCATTAAGCTATCATTGTACCCTCTGTAAAATATCTGGTCTTAGCTATAGGATCATAATTGGATTTTGGGTATTTTTGAGTTTTAAAATTGTATGTAACTTAAAAATTGATTTTTTGACACCACTTCCTATCTTTTTAAGAATTAAAATGTAATACTGGGCACTCCTCTGAATATTGACTTTGGTCATTATTTTTATATATTATGAGCTAGAATAGCTTTTAAAGCCAAAGTGAGTACCATGACAAGATCTTCATATAGAAGATTAAATAATTAAACTAAGTTTGTGGACTGAAATGCAAAGTTCGATAAAGGATTATCTCTTTTTTTAAAAAAAATTTACTCTTATTGCTAATATACTTCTTATCATAATTTTGAGATATTTTTTCAAACAAAACTGCATGAGTTTTAAGTATATTTAAATAGAGTCTTTCCCCTGAAGTTTGTATCACTGGAGAGAGAAAGAAGGGGGGAAAAATCCTCACACCCCGACCTGTATGTCTAAAATATGCACCCCCTTTCCTCTACCTCTTTACCCAGCTAATCCCTTCAGGTCACCCAGGTCTCAATTTAAATGTCACTTCTCTCCTCCACTCTCTCCTCTTTAACCTCCCTCAAAGGTTTGTTAGCTGTCCACTTGGTTTACATTTCCATGGTACCCTCAGTTCCCATTATTCCATAAATTTTGATTTAATGTATATCATGATTGCTAACCTGTGAGCTCCATAGAAACAGGGGCTATTTCAGGCTATTCCTCTCTATCCCCAAGCCCAATAAGGCTGGTGTGTATTAGAGGCTGAGGAGATACTGAGTTAATATGTGAAGGAATTAATGGTTGACACTGTTAATTAATGAGTAAACTTTCGATAATACTTGTTATAAGAGTAGGTAAAAGAAAACCTAGGATATAGCCTAGCTTGAAACAGAGAGGATTTCAACAGAGAATCTCAGAAATGTCACATATTAGGGATCCAGTGACTAGATCCTCTCAGACTCTCTTTCCTGTCTCTTCTCTCTCTCTCTCTCTCTGTCTGTCTCTGTCACTGTCTCTCTTCTCTGTCCTTTTCTTTTTAGAGACAAGGTCTTGCTATTCATTCAGGCTGGGCTTTTAACTTACTGTGTAGCCCAGACTAGCTTTGAACATATGGGTATCCTCCTGCATCAGTCTCCTAACTGCTGGAATTGTAGGCATGTGCTGCCATATCTGGCTGTTCTCTTTAAAAAGTTTCAAAATCATTGGATGGCACTTTTTCACTGCTGTCTAATGTATTTCAGCTGCATTTTTTGTACAAGAAGATTTCCTGATTAAATGTTGGGAGTAAGTAATTAAAATAAAAAGAAATGTTTCCTTCTGAATGAAGCGATGGGCTCAGAAACAAAAACAAGAACTTGGAACAGCGGAGGCCAAGTCATTAATAACCCTATAATCACATCAAGCTCTTTAGAATTCCTAGTTAGGATAAATATGTTGATATATAAAGAAGTGATATGTGAAGAGCATAAGTATGTAATTATTTGTAGTATTTTATTTAGTCCTTTGACAATAAATACAGGATTTTAAAAATTGACCTAGTATGTAAATAGATTTGCTATTATTATTCTAAAATTAGAAATTTTTTAAAAACAGAAGTTAGAGATTAAAGCCAAAAGTTCTTGAAAAAAGAGGAGGTTCCAAAATAAAATAGTACTGAATAGCTGATTACTTGCACAGTTAAATCTTATTTAGGTTAGTATGTACCATAATTTCTAAAAGGTAGTACTTTTAAAAATTTTATTCTTAGGATTATATTTTGTATTCATTAAATCATTATTATGTTGTTTTTCATTAAATCATCCAAATATTTGTTGAAGCGTATTTTGCTTTCATCTTTCTCTTCACAAAAGCAATTTATGAAAAAGCTGAATTAGGCTTGTCACCCTATTTTCATGCAAATGCTTTTCACAATTTGCCTGATGTATTTTCGTGGTTTTCTTTATGCTACAGCAGAGATGGATGGGCTAGTATACTGAAATTCTGCTGTGGATTGGGTTTTCAGGTTAATAAACAAATTTTTGATGGTTTAAAACAGAGGTATGGAAAGATGTATTAGCAAAAGTTTCTTAGATGGTTAATTTTAGAACTTTGAAATATTGTTTTTTCAGACTCTGAAGTGTTTGACACATTTGGATTTACACAGTAATAAATTTACATCATTTCCCTCTTACTTGCTGAAAATGAATTGTATCTCCAACCTTGACGTCTCTCGAAATGACATTGGACCCTCTGTCTTTGTGGATCCCTCAGTGAAGTGTCCCACCCTGAGACAGCTGAATCTATCATACAATCAGCTGTCTTCTTTTCCTGAGACCCTTCCTGAGGTGGTGGAAAGGTTGGAGCAACTCCTTTTAGAAGGGTAAGAGGGGGTTCATGGAAGCCGCATGGGTGCTGATACTGAGTTTTCTAGAGTTGCCAAACTTTACTGACCTTTCTATGACAATGAGTTCTAAACAACAATATAGCAGAAGGTGGAGGCAATTAATATTACAGTTTTACCAAGTGACCAATTTTCACCACTGATTTTAAAATTAATCAGCTTGGTTGGATGTGATTTTTTGAAGGTGAATTGTTATGATTTTTGTACTTTAAAGCATTTGAGTTTAATGTCATTTAATTCTTATTTTTGTTTTGTTATGACTAGAAATAAAATATCAGAGATATATTTCCCCTTGAGTCTGAAGGAACTGAAGATTTTAAATCTTAGTAAAAATCGTATTTCATCTCTACCAGAGAACTTTTTTAAAGCTTGTCCAAAAATGGAGAATTTCAGTGCCAGAATGAATTCTCTTGGTAAGTGTTTTGTATTAGAGGCTGAGGCTGTTTTGTATTACTGTCCCTCCTTGCAGGGACTTCTGCACCTCATAGGTGAAGTCATATATGGACAGATGAGAATTTAAAGTAGGTGTTTTAGTTTAAATACTAATGTTGGAGATTCAAAAATAAGATCAGCAGGTTGAAAGTAAAGAGTAATGAGCTGTCAAGCTATTGAAAGACTGGGAGAAACTTAAATACTTGTACATATTTAAGTGAAAGAAACTGGGGTGAAAAGGTCACCTACTGTACTGTATGATTTGAGGACAGGAAAAAGATCTGTTTTTGTAGGGGTAAGGGAGAAAGAGACTGAGTGCAGCACGGAGGATTTCCCAGCAGCAAAACTACCCTGGATAACCCTGTAGTGGCCGACATTGGCTCTTGTACATTTGCCAAAATTCATCCAATGTACAACCCAGGAATGAATCTTACAGGAAACTGATCTCTAGGTAGTAATCATGTGTCAGCAGTGACTCCTCTATTGTAACAAATGTGCATAACTAATGCAGATTTTTAATACCGAGGAATATGTATGGGAGGAGGCGGGGAAAAAGATGCTGAGGGGCATCTTTTCCCCCAATTTTTCTATAAACCTAGAGCTACACTAAAAAAGGCTGTAAACCATGTTTGTAATTTAAAATAATTAGCACATTGCTATTATCATAGGCTAACATGGCAGTTATTTAGCCTGTGAATAGTAATCATACTGTGATTCTTACATGGGTGCCAGAGATGTGGGAAGTGCCCTTATCCTGAGTTTCACGTTAAAGTTTCTGTAGCAGATTTTTTGGATTATAAGTGCAACTACTGTTATGGTTTTTGAAAGTAAAATTTATCACTCAACAGCTTTCAAATTAGTGAAGCGAATGTGTGTTCCCTCAGCTTTGCAAGTTGGTACAGTATCCCTGTTTGTCAGTGTTGCAATAATATAGAAGATGATCCTCATTTTTATAAAAGTTGGGGCTACCCTACTTTTAAGAAGGAATTATGTTCATTGCTTGTTAGTCACAATAATCTAACATTATGGTGGAAGTACATTTAAGGTAAAAAATAGGAATTCCTCAGTATTTTTTCTTAATAAAAATGGCATGCACCTTGGAGCCCATAGTATTATTCTGTGCCTGGCTCACTACAAAATGATCCTTAGGATTGTTTGATACAATATACATCTTGACTACTTATTTAAAATATTTAATTGTCAGAACTTTCAGAAAGTAATATAGATAAAAATCACATTAATATGTATAGTATCTCTTTCCTTTTTTTCCTCCTTCCTTTTCTTGGACTCTCCTGAATTTTGGCCACATTCTTACCTTGAGTCTGAAACTGAGGATAGAATTTTTCGTTCAGTAGTAAGCAAAGCAAGTCTGGTATCTGTCTTTAAGGAACTTAAAGTTAAATGAAGAAGATAAGCATTAAATAATGGTGGCACAAATTAACACAAATATACATTGTGTTAAATATTGCAAAAAAGTTTCAGGATCCTTTGAGGGCACCTCATAGGGATCTGCTTCAGACTTTAGAGTCAGGGAGCATTTCTGTATCTGTGAGTTTGGAAAGAAGATCATCTGAGGACTCTGAGACTGGATAAGGTCAATATATCATCTCAACGGGATCACAACAATCACATGGGGCAGAACAGGTGATTACCTCAGGAATTGAAAATGTTGCAGCATCAAGACTTTTTGTGATGTGTTTGGGGTTGTACAGGTAATTAACTAGTTATAACCTCTTGGACAGACCTCAGTTGAAAACCCTGCTTTGCAGTCGTGTTATTCAGCTTTCCCACACTGTACAATAGTACTCAAGATAGTCAACCTGTAAAGGAAGAAGCATTTACTTTGTCTTATAGGGATTCCGGTCCATGACCCATTGTGCTGTTGCTTTGGGCTGTGGCAGAGCAGCATGTCAAAGCTGGAGGCAGCTGTTCACCTCAAAATGCCTGGGAAATGACAGTGGCAGACAAGAAGGGGCTGCGACCCCAACAGCTTCTTCAACTTCTTCCCCTCACTGATCTAAAACTTCTTTCTACCAGGCCCCATCTACTAAAGAATTCATGATCTCCCATAGTGCTGTATGCTTGGGACTAAGCTTTCAACAGTTGGCCTTTGGGGGACATTTACATGCAAACTATAACAATACTGTCCAACCATAATAGTTTGACAAGTGGACTTACATTTCCAAAGATGCCCAGTGGAGGACATTAAAATTAACTTCACGTGAAGCTAGGCATGGTGGCACTTACTTCCTGGGAAGTAGAAGCAGGAGGATGGCAAGTTTGATCCCAGCCAAGGCAATCTAGAAACGTAGACATTGTCTCAAAATAAAAAAATATAAGAAGGATTGGGGATATAGCTCAGAGTGAAGATTTTAGGTTCAATCCCTAGTACACCCTTAGTCCTCAACCACATGTGAGATGAAGTTTCTGTCTTTTGGTATTGTATTTTCTGTGTAGCATCTGAATCACAAGAATGTTAATTCTTAGGCAGAGAATCATTTCTATTCATTTATTTTGTTGCAAATGTGTTTTAGAAATAAGTAAGGCATAGCATTTGTCTTTCTACTGGTCAGTAGGACAGCTTCTCACATTGTCCCAGAAGATTTTTTACTTTTGGAGATTTCCTAGAAAAAAATATATTACCCATAGTCTAACCTTGGAAATGCTACAAAATAATTTCTAGAACAATCTTCACAGAACTACAGATTTGTAGGTCTAACGCAAATCTGGACGAGAGAATTGGAGTTCATTCACTCTATCTGCAGCATTTTCCAGATAAGAAAACAAGTGTTATGGCTTGCTTGATTCTCTAAATTGTGTTACCCCAAATTTATTCCTGCAAGTACCACATCCTATATTTCAGTCTTGAAAATTCAGAGACTATACCAGGATTTTGAGAAATGTTGCACTTTATTTTATTCAGTGTTTCCCAATCTCATAAGAGGATAAGATCAAATAACACCTTTATTAGACTCTACCCATTATGATTCCATAGAACACTCGGAGACAGTGCCATAATAATTTCCATCCTGTTACTATATTGTGTATTGGTAAAGTGAGTAAAGCTGCTTAGTTTACTTAAAACTAAGTAGTTTTACTTAGTTTTACTTAGTTTTTACTTAGTAGTTTTTACTTAGTTTTTACTTAGTTTTACTTAGTAGTTTACTTAGTTTACTTAAAACTAAGTAGTTTTACTTAGTTTTACTTAGTTTTTACTTAGTAGTTTTTACTTAGTTTTTACTTAGTTTTACTTAGTAGTTTACTTAGTTTACTTAAAACTAAGCAGCTTTACTCACTTTACCAATACACAATATAGTAACAGGATGGAAATTATTATGGCACTGTCTCCGAGTGTTCTATGGAATCATAATGGGTAGAGTCTAATAAAGGTATTATTTGATCTTATTCTCTTATGAGATTGGGAAACACTGAATAAAATAAAGTGCAACATTTCTCAAATATCACCTAGTAGTCCATCACCTTGACCCCTCAGCAACCTTATCAAGACACTACACATCACCTAATAGCCTCATATAGTTTCAAATTGAATTATTTCAATTAGAAATTATGATGGGTATGTGAATGGTTTTATTATGTAGTGTAAGTTTTAAAGACATATTATTTTACAGATTTTTTTATATTGTCAGTGTGAAAATGAAAATTAAACCAAGTGACAGGTAGCTATTCTCATTGAGTTTAATAGAAATCTAGTTAAAGATGATCGAAATGTTTATCTCATTTTTGTTTTCTTTTAGATACTATGCCTTTCTTGCCTTCTTCTATAACAAGCCTAAAATTGGCTCAAAACAAGTTTACATGTATTCCACATTCAATTTTAGATCTACCACAGTAAGTTTATTGTTAATTTAATTTCAAAACCACATGATCTAGAGCAGAACTGTTAGAAATATGTTAGGTATACAAATGTAATTCATTTAAATCTATGTAGTTTAATGTTTTTTTTGTATAAATGTTTGATTTTCACTAGACCAAAGACTGAAGTTCAGGCTTTTATATTAATTTGTCAGAATATAAAAGTATAGGAAAAAACTCAAGGTTGTGTGTAGTTAATTTTTGCCTTATAATAAAATGAGAGTACATTGGCTATCACTTTAACTTTTAAAATTTCAATTGTTATTAAAGGTTATGTTGTAAAAATACTATTATCTTTGAAATCATTCTCAAGTTATGTTTGAGTGACATTTTTGGTGATGATCAGAACAATTTACATGGTTTCAGGTTTGGGAGAATTTTTGGTTAATTTTATTGAAAATGAGAGATTGAATTAGATCTCAAGTGTGTTGCCATTCTAAATACCATTTTATTTGTGTTGTACATTACACATTGAATTTTATAAATATACATGTATGTCTTGGTTACTTTTTCTCATTGCTGAGACAAAATACCTAACATCCAAATTTAAAGGAGGAAAGATTTATTTTGGTTCACAGTTTGTAGAGGTTTCAGACTCCAAGGCAGAAGAAGACAGCAAAAGCAAGTGACCTTCTGTGCCTTATATTTTTCCAGGTTTCTCACCCTTAGTACCGTAGCACTCACCCTTACTCCTAACATTGCATCCTTGATACCTGAACCTCACACTCTTGATCCTCACTGCTGAAAAGACCCACCTATGACTACATGAGTCTTTGGGGGGACCTCTGGAACAAGCCATGACACTGTGCAAATATGTACATACACAGGAAAGTAGTAATTTTCTTCTAACCATAGAAAGCCAGACAAGCATTAAAGAAGTTAACTTATACCTACCTTTAGAATGTCAGATGTTCTTCTCATTGTTCTACAGGTGTTTATCTCTTTAATCTTCCTAATAATCATATAAAGTAGTTACTGTCTTCTCTTTTAAATCTCATTAGGGAGGTGAGACATCTCACAGTCACAGTTTTTCAACACTGACTCAATTTGACACTTCTTCCCTTTTACAGAGGCAACTACCAAGTATATGTAGCCTCATATTTTAAACATAATACATTCCTGAAAATGTGTGTTTGAAAATCAAATGTTTACAATGAGGAGTAGGAAATAATATACCATAAAGAAGGGATTTTTCTTCCTGAGAACTAAAAATATTATCCAGTCCATACACCATACCTTACATAGCATCCTAGGCTGTTTCCAGTGGCTGCATGCATTACTTCAGTTTCCTTTATTTTAAAATGAGCACACAGTTGACTCACTCAATACTGACTGAGGCTAAAGAGGTGCTACTTTGAGAAAATCTTGTTGACACTCAGCTTTTTAGGTTGCTTGTTAGACATACATGTCTTATCTCTAAGATAATCAAATTCCTTTTCTTGCTTTCCTTTCATTTATATAAGGTAACGAGGGAAAGCCAGTAACATTTTAAAATAAGAGCACAGATACTGATGTGCAACCTGAACTTTTGTCTGACAGTGTCATTTGTGCACGTAGACTTAACTTTTTAAGCTTTCAGTATGCTGGGTAGAAGGGATTAGTATACAGTTATAGAAGTCGAGGCCGCTTTTGCATCCCAAATATACTGCAGTTTGCACTGAAGGTCTTTTAGGTGCTAAGAATCACATTCAGTGTATCACTCGAGACAAATGGTGAAGAGTGTTTCTGTGTGCTATCATAATTACCCTGGGACCAACCTCTGCAGAATCCTCCTGGTAATAAAAAGTCATTCTATGGAGAAGACAAGTGGGTGCTATATTTTTCTAACTCTCATGGAGAAGGCAGGAATTTTAGTGGCCACTTTTACATCTGTTAATTGTAATTTTTCATTCACTATAAACATTTGTAAAATATTAGGTCTTTTCCTCTTTCCGAAATTGGTATTTTTATGTACCTGAAGTAACAAAATGGGCCTCAACTTTTTCTTTCTTTTTGAACGATTTTTGACTGATGCATATAAATTGTCTAATTTATGGGATACCATATGATACTTTGATACATGTGTACATTGTGTAATGTTCAAATAAAGCTAAATATATCTATCTTTTCAGTGATCATTTTTCATGGTGACAGTATTCAAAATTTCCTTTTTACAAAATTACATTTTTGTTATCTGTAGTTATCGTGCTATAATAATAGCATCAGTTGTGTTTTTAATTGACCCTGTTCATTTAAATCACCATCACAGTGAAACTTTTTTTTTCTGAGTACTAGCAATTGAACTCAGGACCTCATGCTTAGTAGGCAGGGGCTATACCGCTGAGCTATATCCCTGGCCCTAAAACATATTTTTTTCTAATGTGTTGTTATATGTATACACAAATTTATGTGTATATATATATGTAAATAATGTTAGTTATAAATTTATATTTTATTCTTACTCTGATAAAATGACTTTTGAAGGTATCTCATGTGGATTTTGAAAACACATTATTTTCATGTTGATATTGTGTTGTTTGCAGCTTGCGGTCCTTAGATATGAGTAGCAATGATATTGACTGTCTGCCAGGTCCTGCAAACTGGAAATCTCTGAATTTAAGAGAGCTCTTATTTAACTATAATCAGATCAGCATCTTGGACTTGAGTGAAAAAGCATATACATGGTCCAGAGTAGAGAAACTCCATCTTTCTCATAATAAACTGAAAGAGGTAAGAAGTCATCTTCATTCATTTGCAGTTACTGCCAGCTGAAAAGTGTGCTTCTTAATTTGGATGATCACAGATTATCACTTTAAATCTATGATTTGCTATTTTGTCTTATTGAATAAGATTCAATCTTACTTGTGGCAAGTGGTTATGTAACATTACTTAATTTGCTTAAGAAAGAATCATACAATATTTTTGAAGAATTCTATGAATATATGTATATATTTAATTATGAATATGGGTAAGGGTGTGTGTCATGGTGTCCCTGTATCTCTGATCTGTTAAGAGGCTCTCAGGTGTGCCACATTTCTCAAGTTCACTGAGTTGTATGTTTTTCCTCCGGCTTTCTTTTCCTGCATTCTTAAATTTCTGCATTTTTCTACTATGATATCTTTTACACATACAGATCTGCTTCCTTTGCTTTGAATCATTTCTTTGGTTATAAATCTGAAATTATTTACATATCTCGAAATGTATTTTTTTGGTCAAGTTTAAACCTACTTCCTCTAAAACCACAAAAACTTAAAAGTCTGATAGTGTGAGGTTTTTTTCTGTCAGCAAATGAATGTTTTTTGTTGTTAAACTAATACAAATCGTGTAAAGTTGTTAAACTAATACAAATCGTGTAAAGCAAAACATGCCAATTATACTGCTCCGTAAAGTACAAACATTTAGTCATATCATAAAAGCAGTAGGTTGCTTGAAAGTTTGTAATTGGTGGTTCCTCGTGGTTAACTAAAGAACACAGGCAGTATGAGTGACAGAATGAAGCCACATAGCCATATATTGTTGAATAACCACTAAGCACTTCTTTACTTTCAAAGTCTTGAAGAGATAAAGTATATCATCAAGGGAGATTTGTTTTTATTTTTACAGTTATAAATGTCACATAGATTGTTTGGGATAGGAAGTTCTTTAAAAGTATATTTTTCTGGTTTCAAGATGAAAATGTATGATAAGCTTTTAGGGATCATTCCAGCTCTATTGAAAAGTTGGACAATTTGCTGATAGAGTCTGTCATCTCTTCTTGGTTCGTGTATTATGGTTTCCTGGCAGTGTACATATTTTTCTTACTACCAACAGGTTTTACCTCTTTTTGTTTTATTAAGATTCCTCCTGAGATTGGCTGCCTTGAAAATTTGACCTCTCTCGATGTTAGTTACAACGTGGAACTGAGATCCTTTCCCAATGAAATGGGGAAATTAAGCAAAATATGGGATCTTCCTTTGGATGAGTTGCATCTTAACTTTGATTTTAAACATATAGGATGTAAAGCCAAAGATATCATAAGGTCAGATACTTTTATTTCCATTTGTTTTTATTAAATTTGTTTCAGATATCTTCAGTCTGAGATTTTTGATGGATGTATACTTATAATTTAAGAAAATGAATAGTCCTATTTAACATTAATGGTAATGTTAATTTAAGATTACTACTATGCTGTTTGCCTTTCTTTGTTAATGATACACAGATTTGTAGTCAAGCTAATGTTGAGAGAATGATGCCTCCTCCATATCATTCTTTTCAGTAGACATGGATGTTAGAAGGGAGATGGCATCACTACGTAATTAGTCTTTGGCTATTAATTACACAATCTAAAGATGTACAGTAGGGTTTAATAGCTTCTAACAATGCATTTCATATAGAAAATAGTTAATGTACCTATTACAACTTAAAGCATTTTACTTGCTTACCTGTATGTAATTACTAATTTGACTTTGTCCTTGAAGACAAATAGATACTCAGCTTGATCATTTTTGAAGCCCTCAAAACTTCCCAGATGTCACTGTCTTTGATCTTTACACTTTAAGGTATCTTTGACAGTGGATTTTATGCATGCTATTACTGTCTTTTAGTGTAGTAGGTCTATCATTACCTTTATTCCCACAAATTTACTCTATTTATCTTAGAGACCTCAACTCAGCAAACACTTCTCAGCACACCTGTAACTTGACTGTCACATACACCCAAGGAATGAGGGCTGGGTTCAGTCCCTGGCACCTAACACTCCTAGCACCTAACACAGAACCTGGCATACAAATGATAGATGATATATGGCTCTTACCCAGTTGTCTTGTGTTTAAATTCTATTAAATTTATATTTCACTTTTTATTTCTTATGAAGATTTGATTTTATGAACTCCTCCCAAGCTTGATTTTACAAAAAATAAAGAGCATGTTGCCTTTGTGCCCATGTGACTACCTTTCATCCTACACAATTTACCCCCACTTTTCTCTCCTGAAATTGGAACATTCGCTTATATTAAAATGGATTCAATTCTTAAGTGTACAGTGGAACTAGTTTTCAGTGTATTATGTCATCTTATCAAGCCATTATATAACTAAAACTTACAAATCATTTATACTGTATGTGAATATATATGTACTTGTACATACATAATAGAACCAATGTGTGACCTCATTATCATGCTTTAGTATAACTATATATATACACGTATATATAGTACCTGAGTTCAGTGTCATACATGCATTATAAAATTTTACACTACATAATTTTAGAATTTTATCTGTACTACTTAAAGAAATCCAGAAACACACACATTGTATATATATATAGTTCTATTAGTATTACAAACAAATTTTGAAGTTTATTGTTAGTGCTAGTGTAATGTGTCTTTATATTTGGTAATGCTGCCAAACATAAGCTATTTACTTGTTCATGGAAAGGCATGTATAGTGTCAATTCTCTCAGGTGAGCAGTCTTTTGCATACTGACATTAGAGTGTCCAGTGCATGAGAATTCATCTAAATCCTAGTGTAATGTGTCTTTATATTTGGTAATGCTGCCAAACATGAGCTATTTACTTGTTCATGGAAAGGCATGTATAGTGTCAATTCTCTCAGGTGAGCAGTCTTTTGCATACTGACATTAGAGTGTCCAGTGCATGAGAATTCATCTAAATCCTAACTGTACTGTTAAGCAATTTATTATTTTATTTTTATATTTCAAATACCAGGTTTCTTCAACAGCGATTGAAAAAAGCTGTGCCCTATAATAGAATGAAACTTATGATTGTGGGAAATACTGGAAGTGGTAAAACCACTTTATTACAGCAATTAATGAAAACCAAGAAATCCGATCTTGGAGTGCAGGGTGCCACAGTGGGCATAGATGTGAAAGACTGGCCTATCCAGATAAAAGGCAAAAAGAAGAAAGACCTTGTTCTCAATGTGTGGGATTTTGCAGGTACAGTATTTATGTCTCTTAGTGTTTATTGCTTTCTTTTTACTTTTTATTTAGAAAAGGTATTTAAAAACTTGCATTTTCTATTTAGTACAGCAGAGAGCAGGTATGTTTTTATCAAATTAGTCCAAAACCATTTCTTCTAATTTTAGCACAACAGAGAAGTATATGGAAAGAAATGTTAGGAATGAGTAGTAGCCAGCTGAAGTGGAGTGTTTGGTTGGTGGGTAATACGTGTGCTGAATGCTGTTAATTCATGGTAAAACACAGCATAGACCTCTAAATGTGTTTTTTTTCCTTTCTCTTTTAAATAAGTAATTTTTCTCTTCCCTATTTAAAACAATTCTTGCCTGTTTCTGGGAGATTAAAAAGAAAAAGAAGAAACTCTCCCTGATCTTTATCTAGGTCGTGAGGAATTCTACAGTACTCATCCCCACTTCATGACCCAGAGAGCACTGTACCTTGCCGTCTTCGACCTCAGCAAAGGGCAGGCAGAAGTGGATGCCATGAAGCCCTGGCTCTTCAACATAAAGGTGAGCTGTTCTAATCGTTTAGAAATAGAAAACTACTCTAGGGCTTTTTGGTATGTTTGTAAGGAAATTTGTTTTGGGCAGACAGTTGGCTCCTGTTGCTTCAATTTTTTTCTCTTTTTGAGAGAAGATTTCACTATGTAGCTCGGGCTGGCCTTGAACTCATTTTGTAGCCCAGGCTGGCCTTGAACTCACAGTGATCCTCCTGCCTTCACCTTCTGAGTGCTGCCTTCACCTTATGAGTGATGGGGTGCCACCATGCCTGGCTACTCAAAAAAATTTTTTTTTCATTTAGAAGACTAAAAATTTGTGTTGGAAAATTTTCATAGTAAGGTCTTAATGCAAAAGAATAATTATGTTCTATTTTGGTGAATATTATCCATACCAGAATCTTTTTATACTATAAAAACTCAAAAATATATTCTGTTCAATTAATTTTGACTGTATTACTTCTTAAAGGAAATATAAACTTTCTTAATTGAAAATGAACTCTACCAGAGAATGAATAGTGGTGGATATTTCACCAGTTGTGTGCTCAGCTGGCAACTTGGTATGAAGTCCTTCAGATTGTACCCTTGAACTTACCTGACCGTCTGGTTTCCTGCTGTCTGCTATTCCTTCGAGCAGCACGGCTTTCAGAGCTGAGACTGGAGGGTGACAGCATACTTTTTGGCCTGTGCTCCGCTGAGCGCTCCCTTGAGTCATGTCCTTAGGTTTGTGTCAAGATCATCTTGGAGGGTAACTTGGCCATGTACATACTTGTTTTTGTAACCTGTATAATTCTTTTTTTTTTTAATTTTTTTTTAAAATTTTATTTAAGGAGAAAAGAAAAAAAAGCAGAGAAAGGGTACAAGTTATACAGATTTGCAGAAAAAAAATGAACAGTAGGAAATCACTAGTTAATGGATTACATATTGTCATCTTAGAAATAATTGTTCAAGTCACAAAATTAAAGCTTGTAAAGTGGACATTCCATCTATGATACTGCAAACAGTTCTGTTCAATGATCCAATAAAACTCTGTGATATCATTTTCTATCTTATACACTTAAATATACATGCAGTTATATAGTATAGAGCACTTTCTTTTCCTCTCTTTTGTACAATGACTATTTCACATTTTGGGTTTCATTGCTCCCATGGTTCTTATTACTTTTTTGGAAGAGAGTAAAACCAAATGTGACATAACAGAACAGAATCGGTCAAGTCAAAAGGGTGGACATAATAGATAATGTGAAAACATAATACAAGGTGATCAACAATGGTTACCATAATGCCTCCCGCTATCTCTAATAGAATTGCCTATATCGTTAGTTACAATACAATTGAACAACAGTAAAGAATAAAACTGACAAAACCAAAACATTGGAGACATTGTAGGTCTTCAAAAGTAGATAAAAGTCAACGAGAATGGGTGTCTTAATGAATCTCATTATCTTCACAGCTGTTGCCTAAACTTTCGAACCTGATACTATCCAGCAAAACAGAATAGGGGAACATCAGTCAAAAACCAGATGGTGAGAGTAATACAGGGCTTTAAATCGAGGTAATGGAAAGTCAAAGTGAGTTACTATAATATATCCTGCTATTTTTTTCCTTTAATTAAAAGGATAAAAATAAAAAAGTAAATAATGGAGTGGAGATTGAGATAAAAGAGGGCATAACAACGAAACAGCACAGATCAAAACATAACCATTTAAGCAGAATAGTGTTTCACTACCAGATAATCCTGACCTAAAAGTAGTTACCATATTATCTCTTTCCTTGAAATCCTTGAGTACAACTTCGTATACTGTAGCATTAAGTATATCAAAACAATGTAAACCATTTAAGAGAATGACAGCATTACAGAATATTTAGAATCGACTAACAGAAAATGAACAATGGTTTCTGTATAATCTCCTTGTCTTTAAAAGGTTTTTGCTTATACTATCGTACATAATAAAATCCAGTAAGATACAACCTATTTGGACCATTGGAGACAGAAGGACAAAAGCTAGATGAGACTTCAAAACAAGATGATACTAAATCAGTATTACCTAGTAAGATGTCATTTTCTCCAAAATAGCTGTTCCTATCATCCAATCTTCTCTGCCTCATTTCTGTTGAGCTGTTATTCTGTCAGTAGCTGTCAGTTTGTCTTCTTCACTTTGTTCTCTGCTCCATTCGTTGTGGCCTCCATTATTTCTGGATTCTTTGTATTTTTCTTTTTTTAGAATATCCTGCAATACTCTCTGTAGAGTTGAATTGGTGGTTGCAAATTCCCCCAGTTCCTCTTTATCCTGGAAGCACCTTGTTTTTCCATCAATTTCCAGGGACAGTTGTGCAGGATATCTCAATCTTGGCTGGAGATTATTATCTTTCAAAGCTTGAATTATTTCCCCCCACGCTCTTCGTGATTTGATGGTTTGTGCAGAGAAATCTGCTGTAATTCTGATGGGTGCTCCCTTGTAAGTGGTCTGTTTCTTGTCTCTGACAGCTTTTAATATTTTGTTCTTGTATTGAATTTCTGGAATTTTTATTATTATATGCCTGGGTGTTGCTCTGTTTGGGTTGTAGGTAGCTGGGGTCCTGTATGCCTCATACATCTGAGTATCTTTACCTTTTGCTAAATTAGGAAAATTCTCCTGGATTATTTCTGTGAGTAGCTTTTGTAGTTCATTTGTTTGTGTCCCTACTTCTTCTTTTATGTTCTTAATCCTTAAGTTATGGATCCTCTTATCATCTTCTTGTCTTTGTATTATTGCTGTTTGTTTCTTTGTTATTTTTAAGAAGTTTTTCATTTCATTCTCCCATATTACAATTCTGCCCTCCAGTTCAGATAGTCTGTCCTTAGTTTCTTTCAAGCTGTTATGCCAGTCTTCGATAGACTTCTTAGTTTCTTGGTAGTCCCTTTGAACCTGCTTCACGTATTCTATGCTTTCCCTGTTTTCTCCATCAAACAATTCTCCCCTCTTTTTCTGTTCTTCCATTCCACCATCTGTTTTTTCTTGGGTGGTGCTTAGCATTTCTCTAACTATTTTGCATACTTCTAGCTTCAGGTCGTTGATAACTTCATTCCTGAATTGGTCTATGAGGCTCTCTATATGGCGCCTTATGTGTAATGGTGCGGTGTCTGCTATTGCCTATTTCTCAGAATTGGGGGCCAAGGAGCCTTTCTTGTTGCTGCCTCTTCCCATATTCTCTGTTCCTTATATATGCAAGCTTATATGAGAGGCCCAGCTTCTCTCCCTGTCAGCCACAGCCTGATCGAATTGCGCCGGTTAGGTGTTCCCACTCACCACTGCACACCAGGCAGCCTACGTGGGGCCCGCCCCTCCCGGCCTCCGTCGGGCTCTGGGATCTGGGTTGGGCCAGCCTACCGGGTCCGCCGGCAGCGTCACGCAGCCTAGGCACTTTTCACCAATCCCGCCCGAGAGGGGAATGTGTGGCTGGAGTCGCCACCACGCCCTGCTCCCGCAGGACTACCCGGGCCCAGAAAGTCCGCTGGAGTCAAACTGTGGTGGAGTGTCAGTTTCTCTCACTCACCTCGCCACAAGTCAGAACATGCCTCCCTGCCCGTCCTGTTTTCGACTCCGTTCGCAGACTCCCGTTCTCAGAGTTTCCGTGCGTCTCTCTCCTTGCCGAGCCGATGTAGAGGCAGCCAGCCACTGCGCGGCGGGAAACCCAAATGGCGTAGGGTCCAGCCTCAGCAGCGAGGCTTTTCTGTTCCTGTTTTAGCACCAGGACTGCATTCCAAGTTGGTTTCTCTCAGCCGAGTTCGTTCCTGAGTCAGCAGAGCATAACTCCACCTGCTTATGTCTCTTTAGTCCGCACCATACCTGGCTTCTGAACCTAGTTTTCAGAGAGCCTCCGGTAGTTGCTGTTATCTGTCCGCCATGTTCTCCCCACCTGTATAATTCTTTAAACTTTTTCTTGACTTTATTATAGCTTATCCAAATATTACAATGGCAGTAATACTTGATTTAGTGGCTTTTTTTCTTCCTCTGTAGATTCCAAATTGATTGACTTTAACATAAATTCAGATTGTATTCACAGATAAAAAATGTATAAACCGTATTATGTTATTTTGCTATAATTTGGGGATTGAGTGAATGCTTACTTTATTTAAAACATATTCATCAAATAAGAAAAATATAAATCATATTGGTACTTTGTCATAATTTGGGGTTTATTGAATATTTATTTTGTATAGAAGCACATTTAGCAAATAATACATTTCAAGCATGAATATGAAAAGAAAAAAGCTGTGCTATGGGTTTAGGCCACCTGAAAAGTGTTGAGAATTATAGTAAGGAGGGGCACTAAATGTCTTTTAAAATTTCCTCAGATTACCCTTTTTCATGTGTAAGGAAATGTCTTGGTCTATTTTGTGCTGCTATACACAACCTGAGAATGGATAATTTATAAAGAACAGGCCTTGTTTGTTATAATTCTGGAAAAGCTGCCATCTATGGACATCTTCTTGCTGTATCCTTCCATAGAGCAGGTGGAGGGTAAGAGGGCACACATATAACAGGCGGAGGCTGGGAACCAAATGCATCTTTTTAAAATCAAGAACCCACTTCTGTGACAGCAGCATCAATCCCCTATGGAGCTTCTGCCTCTCAACGCTTGCATCTAGGAATAAATTTCTAACGTATTTCTTTCAGGGACAGAGGCAAACCACGCCAGGAAAGAAATCCCGTTGTTACTTTCTTCTTCAGAAGTCTTGTAGTTTTTCATTTGTGCTTAATTGAACTTCCTAGAAAGCAAATTTCTACAGAAATGTAAGCAGATATCATTTAAAAGCAAACGCAAGAGTATTTTGTGTCTTCCTCTATAGGCACGGGCTTCGTCCTCCCCCGTGATTCTTGTTGGTACGCATTTGGATGTTTCTGATGAGAAGCAGCACAAAGCCTGCATAAGTAAAATCACCAAAGAACTCCTGAACAAGCGAGGGTTTCCTGCAATTCGAAATTACCTCTTTGTGAATGCTACTGAGGAGTCCGACGCTTTGGCAAAGCTTCGGAAAACCATCGTAAGCGAGAGTCTTAATTTCAAGGTAATATAGTTGATGACTACTGTAGACTTATGGAGAGACGTAATTTATTAATTCTCACATTATACCACTGTTTAGAAATGCCAGAAGTCTAAGATTAATTATCTTAAAATTTTGGTTTTTAAATAAATCTTAAATCATTAAAGTACTTTCAATTTTAAAATTACTTACTTATGCCATACTGTATTTGTAATTCCTTGAAAAAAGAATAAAAAATAACTGTAGAATCCTGAAGGAACTAAGAGAATGTTTCTAGGACACTGAGAAAATATTTCAGAGATAGATAGAAAACACATCTGACACCATTCTGTCCCAACTTCCTGAAGTGTTGATTCAATCCAAAGTGTGAAAATGAATACTGAGGTCATGAGATCTTTTTTCTTTTATTGTTTTTTCCTGTCTCTTCTTTCTTTGTCTGTTTTTTTTTTTGGGGGGGGGTTCTATTTTATACCCTTCTGAAAACCCATTCATGTCTCTTTGCCCTATGATTCCTATTCCAGTTTCTTCCCTTGATATTGTGAGACAACTTCTATTTAGCTGTTGAAACCATTAATTTAGCTTTCAGAAATGTGTGAATAGTTACTTAAGTCATACAAACTAGGCATTTACATTTCTAGGACTTGTGTTTTAAATTTCCAGAGTTCTCTTGTGCTAAGTCAAATATTTATAAAACACCCAAGTCAGCAGCCATCAGAGAAAATAGTTTTGAAATGCTTGCAGGAAGCTGTCTTTCCTGCACTCTGGTGGGAGCATAGTGTAAACTCTGATGGAAGACACTCTGCTGGTTAAAAATGGTGGACATCATGGTGTGTTCCATGTAGTTTCAGTTGGTTGAACTCATCAGAACTAATGATCACAATCATGGTTTAGTAAAGTCCTGCCTAGCATGGGCAGTTCCAGCATACTTAATAATAGTGCCCTGCTCCATTTCAAAAGCATTCCAGTTTAGATGATAAATTATATGGTTTCGCTGCTTATAATTTCATGTTTTTTAGTTAGCTTAGTTCTCTTCCATTACCACAGACTATGCTCATATCCAAAACCCAGTGAACCATTTTAAAATGTACTATTGGTCTTTGTGGTGTCCAAGGAGAGAATGTTCTTGTACCTTTCAAAACACATTTATTATGGTTACTAAAAGGGCCTTATTGGTGGTGGATTGGTAGTGTGGTATTTTGTAAAAATGGCATCATGTACTTGAAAATTTTCCTACTCTCTTTTGGGATGTGTGATTAATACCACTTTTTAAAAAACAAATACACAAAATTCATTCATGCCATTAATCTTTGTATCTAGATAATTTTCTCCAAAGTATGTACCTGTAAAGAACTTTGTTGCTACTTAGAATTTTTTAATAGTTGTCCATTTTGTCATTGCTGTCAAAGCAGGTATGGCAGTTTTTTAAAGATCTCTTTGGAGGATTAACTTGTTTTGCAAAAAGCCTAAATTTAATTAAAGCAAAGTCTGCAGATGAAGTGGTCAGTTCATTAAGCTGCATTTCTACTGCTTTTGTCTGATAGCAAGGTATCACTATCAATCAATAAAAGGTTCCTTCTGGCTTTATAAAGAAACTTTGAAGACAGCTCTATGCAGGGAGGAAAACTGCTTTGAGAAATGAGAGTTTATTTAATGAAAGGTGTACAGCTAATGGATGCATCATTCTGAAATATCTGTTTGAAAACCCACTGGACTATTTTGCAGAGTGGGGACTCTGAGAAGACCCAGGGCCAGTGAGCTGCTAAAATGTGCCTATTCTTTCTTCCCTTAGTCATTGCTCTGTCTTCCTATAGCAGTTTTTGGTTTGCTAGAGATCATCTTTTTATCATGCTCATCTTGAATCTTTCCCTGTACTCATAAACATGTCTTCACAGATTTTTTTTAGAATAAAAGGATATTGTTGTGTTGCTTTGACTAGCCTAATCCTCAGCGGATAATCAGGCTAAAGGAGATAAGGAGATGCAGGACAAAACTGTGATCAGTGCCAACCATACCCCTTTCAATCCTAACCAGTCTGTTAGGGAAGAGCAGGCATCTTCCCTGGCCCTGTGACTCAGCCATGTGAGATTTATCCCCTTCCATTTGAATTGCTTTGTGTGACGCTTCAGAGTTTACTTCTACGTGTGAGGTTTTTTTTTTAACCTGGGTTAAGACATCCTCTTCAAATTAAATTTCTGTTTTATCTGAATTTGTAAATAGTAAAGAAGAGAATTATGAAAAGTGGATTGTAGCTCAATTATATTTAATTTTCTGGGGCGAGGGAGATATATGAAAGCAGTGTTTTTGAGTGATTGTTTGCAGGTAAATAGAACTGAAGGTTGAGGCTTACATATGGGAAGATAGTAAGTTAAATTTTTGTGCTCCTGTGTGTGGGAATAAGATTCAGTTTCTATTTGTAATAGGCTTAAGAATTTAAGTAACAGTGCTCCTAGGTTCTGTCAGGCAAGAAAGATATGTAATTTTCAGGGATCCAGAAATAAGGAGAGTTTGCCATCTGGTGGTTCTTGAAGGTATTTTGATTACTATTGTAAGAGTTGCATTTCTGTGTAAAACTTTTCACAGGAAAAACAAGTTTGGAAAATATGTTTATTATAGACTTTTTCATTTTAAAGTCATTCTTCTAAAATCTTATTTCAATTGATAGTGATTAGGTTCAAAGTGGGACAGATCAGTGATCATCCTTGTATGTTAGAATTATTGGTATTTAGATGATTTTTCATTTTTCCAACTTCAAGATTTCATGAGAAAACATACTTGAGTAAATATTTTGTGTCTCCAGGTTATATTTACTTACAGTTTTCTAGCGTACAAGATGTGATGTTTTACCTTTGGGTGTAGTTTTATCTAATAAAAGATATCTAGAAGTATCTTGTAATAGTAATATCTTATGTTAATATGTCTGTTACATATGAACTTAATGTTTTGGAAAATGGAAAATATTTTTATGGTGAGAGATTTATATTAGTATTTGCCGTGAAATTTTTGGATAATTAGATAAATATTTTTATGATATTTCATTTGAAATTTCCAGATGTGCCTCTGTGTCTATACTTATTTCAATTTCACCCTCTATTAATTACAATTCAGAGAGCTTTATCTGATATTTTGACTTCATTAAAAATAAATTTCTGAATAACGTAGTCATTTGTGTTAAAACTTAGCACCAAATTTACCCACCACCTGACAAATGCATAATTAACATAGACATTAACAACTTATCATTATAATTTCATAGATCAGGGATCAGCCTGTTGTGGGGCAGCTAATTCCAGATTGCTACGTAGAACTCGAGAAAATCGTTTTAACAGAGCGCAAAAATGTGCCAATTGAATTTCCTGTAATTGACCGGAAAAGATTGTTACAACTGGTAAAGGAAAATCAGCTGCAATTAGATGAAAATGAGCTTACTCATGCTGTTCACTTCCTAAACGAATCAGGTTTGTGTGTCTGCTTCATCTTGCTTTTTTCCAAAACTTGGTTGTAAATGTGTACCTGTGTCTGAATCTTGTATAGAATCTGTAGTGAAAATTTAAAAGATGTCTATAAAATTCTTAAACAGGCCCCTGATTTTTCCCATTTTTGAAATATCATCAGGTTGAATCCTACATCATGTCATAAGCAAATACATTTAGAAATCATCTAAGGACAATGTAGTCAGTGAGCAGGAGTTAAAATGTCGATTTTAGAGCATGGTTTTGCTATTCAGAAGATAGTGAGCTTTTAGTAGAGCCAGATCCTTTCACAGTATCAAATGGATTTAGTGCATGTGAAAGTTATTTTTGTCCCATCAGGAGAATTATTGTGATGATTTGACTGGGCCATGTAGAGCTGATAATTGTCTGAGATGATACAGCTCCTGACTGGCGCATCACTTATTGATCCCTTAGTAAAAACTCTTAAACCAAACTGCAGTACCAATTGTGTCCTTAATCAGTATCACCTCGGTAAAAGTGTGAGTTGATTTTTAATACCAGAATAAATGGCTGTTTAATACTAGAATAAATGGCTGTTTTTGATCCCTGCATTCTATAGTATGGAAAATGTCTTCAGGTGGATTATAATCTATTTCCTTTTGCCTCTATTGTAATTCAGCTATGGTGAGATATGTTATTTCTTAACTGTATTGAAAATAAGGTGTGTTTTTATAGGATACCTTTAGAAAGTGTCATGAAAATTATGAATTTCTCTGCTTTTTGTGTGTGTGAATGCCTGATCATCAGTGCATGCCAATATCTCAAACATTCTTCTATAGGGTTGTCTGTATAGTTCAAAGATATTTCTTTATAACATTAGCATATTATATCTAGGGATCTAGGAGGTGTAGGAACTGGTCCCCATTCTGCCACTAGGTCCATCTTCTAGAAGGAGAAGTAGTTGAACTAGATTTGCTCTAAAGCTTTTTGCTACTTTTGTGTTCCAGATTCCATGTTTTACTGTTTGATGATTTTTTATTACAGGAGTTCTTCTTCATTTTCAAGACCCTGCATTGCAGTTAAGTGACTTATATTTTGTGGAACCCAAGTGGCTTTGTAAAGTCATGGCACAGGTTAGTGTCTTACATTTTGGGGGCCTGGCTTTGTGCTTGGAGAGGAACAAAGATGGGATTCAGAACACTGAGAATTTTGGCATTTGTATATTTAGTTAGGGCAGCCCCTATTGTAGATATGGTGAACTGTGCAATCCTGCACATAGAAGAATGCTTAAAGAGCTTTGTGTAAGAAGAGAAGATACCGTGAAATTGACTTTCATGTCTTTCTTTCCAAGCCACATATGAACATCTTCTGTGCTACTTTTTTAGATCCTGATCCTTTCTTTGATTTGGTTATTACCTTAAATTAGTTTAATGTGAACATCTGAGGGACAAACACATATGAAAAACTTGAGCTGATGAGTCCATGAAACCTCGACCTAGATAACATGAAGGAGATTTTTTATTCTTAGGTGAAATGGTCTGAGCTCCATAAGCCTACACTTTTTAAAACTTCAAGTGGTGGCAATTATGAATATCTTTTCTGAATTATGGAATCATTTTCTGCACATGGGAGAATGATTTCTTGTCAAGGTGCTGGTCCATTATCAATGAGTCCATGTTAATTGCATATAATAATCCTTCCCTACAAAATTACTATGAAAACCACTCGAGCAGAGCACACTAGTTTAGGATTTTTCAAGTTTAGCAGTGTGCACGTAGTTCATTATTATACATTTTAGAGTGGTAACAGAATTTTCAGCCTGTGTTTTTTAGATGCTAGGTGTATCTTCCTCATTACTACAAGTAAAAATGTGTCTGCACATTACCAAGTGGTGCAGGGGTACAAACTCATCCCCACTGAGAATCACGATGTCTCCTGTAATCATGAACCAAGGTGAGCTCAGAGAAGGCACCTCCAGTGTGTGTATCCACCAGCAGTTATTGTGTTGATAAGTACAATTTTTGGTTTTGCATGTGGCTCCTAATGCCTGAAGTGATTATATATTTATATAATAGAAATGTCTCATCCAATTAAACCATAATACTAATTGAATTTCCTCTAATAATCTTGCATACTAGCTCCTGAATTCTATTTAAGGATAACGAGGAGTACATTTTGAAGAGGGAATGCAGTTGAGGTAAATCCTCTCCCATGGCACTTGAGAGCATAGTGAACCATTACTGTCATTGGAATTTAATTGTGATTATCAATTGCTACTATTTTGGTAGATATTGTAAATTAGATTTTTATCCTTAAGATGTGCCATAGAAGTGGGATTTTACTCATTTATTAAATCATGGAGCCAGTAACATAATGTGGTCAAGAGCACATGTTCTAGAGTCAACTTGGCCTGTATTTAAATTTTTTTCACTTACCAGCTTTCTAATATTTCTTTTCATTTTAAGCTTTTATTATAATTATTGTAGTGAAATGCTTTCTTCTATCTTGCCTTCCTAGTTCAGTGTGAGTGGTGAATGTTGACTAATTTTGTTTTTGATTTATGTGGTAATTTAAAGTATATTATTTTAGGAAATTAAAAAACTTCAAAACTATAATGATGTAGCAATGTGGTGTTGGCAAGTGTGTCGGGACTGCAGTCAAATAAAAACTACACATAGAAAGATACATGCTGCAAAGGGTCTTTTGAATATATCCTGCAACATTTCTTGTACAGCACAGCAGAAACCCTAATAGGAAAGAAAAGGCTAAAATTGCCTCCCAAAATGATGTTTCCATGTGACTGAAATATTTGGCATTGTACACAATGTTGATATTATGGTGAACTTACACAGTAGAATTAAGAGTTCTGGATCAGATGCATCCTTTTAGAACAAAAGAAGATTTTCACTATGAACAAAATTTCTGAAATCTATGGAGTAATTAAGTCGAAACTTTAAAGTTCTCATTAGCACAGTTATAGTATTGACATCCTAATTTAAATGAAAATTAAATCAAGAATTTGAGTAACTCAAAGTTATTTTGAAAGAAATTTAAAACATCAGTAAAATAACTTAAATGCAAGATGCGCATCATTTTTATTTATGCTGATAAATTGAAATATAATGTCATTTTCACTTAGGCTTAAAGGGAATGAAAGCTATAAATAACCAAGTGACAACAAGACTTGTCTGACACCCATCAGCCAAAATAAATAGGGGCATTCACCCTCCATGAATCATCAAGTCCAGGGCAGGAATAATTTCACGGTGCAGAAACTCTAATGATCCCACCTACTTTCTCTGTGCCCTGAGCTGTCAGGTCACTGAACTTATTAAAGAAGATTGAGTCAAGGAAGGGGAAGTTTGCGTAACTCATTTAACTGTGATAGAGGAAATATGAAAGAGACCTAATGAATTAATCAGGTGGAGCATTAACAAGCTTCGATAGCAGTTTAATCTTGATAAAAATACAGGGGAGAAATATAAGGAATTTGGGAACTCCTAAACTAAAGGCATAAGTTAGTCATACAATTTGTTTGAAGGAAAATTAAGAAACTTTTTAAAGGCAATAAAATTAAAATAGTATTTCAGATTTTATTGCTGTATAAGAAGCTACCCCCAAACTTGGAGGCTAAAAACATTAATAATTTATTATTTCTCGCTCTTCGTTGGGTGGACTGTGTTCAGCTGAGCGGTCTCCTTCACACACTGTTGGCGTGGTTTGTGCGCTTGGCTTTATGCATGGAGCCAGCCTGGTAAATCCAAGGAGGCCACACTCTCATTTTTGGTAGAATTGGGTCATTTCCATGTGGTTAAGTTGGGACTTCCTTATGGCACAGTGGTTGGCATCTTTTATGGTGGAAGGCTACCAAGAAAAGAAAAGATAGTATTCTTGTGCTAGGATTATTTTACAGGATAATATAAATTACGATAGATACATGCCTAATACATAAGGGCTTACTATATGCTAAAATTTTCCTATAGTCTTTGCATGATTTACACTTATTTTTTTCATTCTTACAGCAATTAAAGAGGTAGACACTTTTATAATCTCATTTTCTAGAGAGGGAAACTGCCTTCAAGAAGTCAAGTATGTTTACCAAAGTCACATAGCTAGTAGCAGATCCTGGATTTGAACCTAGGTTCTTCTGATCCAAGGTCAGATTCTTAACTGTTATGGCAGTCAGAACTCAGAATAAGGTCTGTGTGCTAGAATCATCTAGGTTGGTTTTAAAAGAGCGGGTTCTGAAGCCTCACCCCAGACTTGTTGGCCAAACTGCAAATGTAATCCAGCAAAATGCCTCTCCTCCTTGTGATGAAAACCCTCTCCTATTATATAAATATCAAGTAATATTTCCACTGCAAACCTATAGTAGTAACAGACTGGATTACAGTTTCTGTCTCTCATTTCAGTGATGAGACTGCAATATAAATGTGACCTAATGGATTGGTCTGTTAATTGGAGGTAGGGAAATCTTGAGAATCACTGTTTTCTGAGAATCCTGATGAATTCTGATCTGAATGCAGTCCCTCAATTTAACAAATGTTTTCAGAGAATGGATGTCCTGCTGGGCTTCTAGGTGACCCAGCTGCTAGGGAAATTAGATATTGTGTTGTACTGGACAAATTGTTCCCATCACTTTCAGTGAGCAAAGAGATATAAATTTGAAACATTTCAGAAGATGAATCCTAGTGATTATTTATGAGTTCAAATCTTTCAGATTCTGACAGTAAAAGTGGAAGGCTCTCCAAAATATCCTAAGGGAATCATTTCACGTAGAGATGTGGAAAGATTTCTTTCAAAGAAGAGGAGATTTCCAAAGAACTACATGACACAATATTTTAAACTCCTAGAAAAATTTCAGATTGCCTTGCCAACAGGAGAAGAATACTTACTGGTTCCAAGCAGGTAAAATAAATTTTAAAAATTTAATTTCTTCATGGTAATTCATTGTATATTGTTTTAATTGTTAAAATAACTTTGAGGTATAATAGATGTGATAAATATTTATACTTGGTTTTGTAGACTTTTTTTTTACTAAGTACAACATGTACTTTTAATGAAAACATTGCACTTGACACTTAAAAGATACAGTAAATGGCATTCTTAATCTATGTGATTTTTGTTTGGCCTACCACTAAAATTATTTAAGAAAGATAAATCATGAAGAATATGCATATGTGTATATGCATGTGCACGGTGTATGTATGTATGTATAATGTGACAATGAGAAAGCAATATTAGGGAAGTTCTTGGGAAATACAGTAGTGAGCTTTCAACACTTTTGAAAGAACTTATGACATCACAATGCAGGCCTAAGTTTTACCCGTGTATTGTAGAAATGTTTTTATTTCTTTGTAAGCAACTAGGATGTATTATAAAGTAACATGAAGTTCGAAATGCAAATTATATTAAGTGATAGATGACAGCCAAATATAAAAGCAGATATAACACTTTTGTCTAAGACATAGTTTTTCAATTTTTATACAATCTTATTATTTGTCTGTGTATAACTAATTGCAACAATTTATTAGCATACTTAGGATTACTAAAAAAACTTCATGAATTTACTACACTGGAGCACACATTTGAATTGATTAAGTGGACATTGAATTTTTCATGTGTAAATGACAACATATACCAAAAAATATTACTAACAAAAGTAGATTTTCTTAGAATTGTTACTTATTTCAAAAGTAATGCACTTCGATCAGTATGATTAGGTGTTTCTTGAGTGATAGATAAACAGCATTCTTTTCTTTTTAGTTTGTCTGACCACAGACCTGTGATAGAGCTTCCCCACTGTGAGAACTCTGAAATTATCATTCGACTATATGAGATGCCATATTTTCCCATGGGATTTTGGTCAAGATTAATCAATCGGTTACTTGAAATTTCACCTTACATGCTTTCAGGAAGAGGTATGTATTTAATGAAGGCACTACTAGAGAATTTAGGGAAGAAAAAATAGTATATTTACTTGTTTGAGAGGCTAGTGAGTTAGAAAATAAACCTACAAAGCCTCAAAGTAGTCCATATAAAGATACAGAGGCACACCTAAAGTCATGCATTTTATTTGGAAGAAAATGCTTCAGCTCCTTACCCAGGCCCATTTGTTCCTGTTTTTGACTCATTTCCAACAAATAAGGATGTCTTGCTTTCCAAGCCACAGAAGAAAAGAAGCAATAATTTTAAAAGGTGTGATTTCTAGAGGTCTTTAATACACACACACACAGACACACACACACACACACACACACACACATACACACACACACGTACGTACCAAGAGAAAAAGAAGTGACCGCTGCATGATGAGAGAACTTTTATTCAACAACTGTTACAGGATCTAGCCCACTAGGGTATGGATGATTGTATCTCGGTTTTGTTGCTGAATACCTGAGAGATTTACAGAAGAGAACAAAAAAAATGAGTGTGGATAGTGAATGCTAGCTTTTTGTTCCAGAATAAAGAAATGTCTTAATATTCCAAAACAATACCATTTTTTGTTTTTAAGAGTGGTTAATACAGGTGCTGTTGGTTTCTGAAATAAATGTTATCTTGCTTGGAATTAACAGAGAGTTACCATGCATTACAAAGTTTAGGAATGACCTTTAACATAATATGGTTATAACTATTAAAAATTATACAAACTTATTTATGATTCTGTTTGATTCACATATTAATAACGTTAAACTCCTTACTAGCATGAATCTGAATTGTATCTTAGGTAATCTATGAGCATTAATTTTATTGAAAAATCAAGGAACAATTATTTCATGTAATAATTATAGAGATATGAATGACGGTCTGTGTCATAAATGACCTAATACTCTCCTTCAAAACAAATCTGTTTGTATTGCAATTACTTTTGGGGTAGGCAGTGGATTTTTCCTTTATGTAGAGGTTAAAATTAATGAATCCATTTGGATCCATTTAAACTTTCAGAACGAGCACTTCGCCCAAACAGAATGTACTGGCGACAGGGCATCTACTTGAATTGGTCTCCTGAAGCTTATTGTCTGGTAGGATCTGAGGTCTTAGACAATCAGCAAGAGAGTTTCTTAAAAATTACAGTTCCTTCTTGTAGAAAAGGTAAGAAAAATAATTCAAAACTTCAAATCATACCACTAAAGAAATCTCAATTTTAAAAAAAGCCTTTCCAGAGTTGGGAGTGGTGAGGTAGCATGTGGTTGTCCCAGCTGAAACAGAAGGATCACTTAAGTGCAAGAGTTTAAGAACAGCCCACAACACAACATAACACAATACAACTTCTCAATTTCTCTTCTTTGGGCTTTTCTTTGAATTATGCAGGCTGTATTCTTTTGGGACAAGTTGTGGACCACATTGATTCTCTCATGGAAGAATGGTTTCCTGGGCTACTGGAGATTGATATTTGTGGTGAAGGAGAAACTCTGTTGAAGAAATGGGCATTATATAGTTTTAACGATGGTGAAGAGCATCAAAAGATCTTACTTGATGATCTGATGAAGAAAGCTGAAGAAGGTATTCAGCTTACAAATATTTTTAAGTGATCCTTCACTATTTGTGAAGTGACTTTTATAAGTTAAAATTATCCTTATCCATAAAGGATGAGTTAAAAGATAGTATGTTCAATTACAATATCAGTTCAGAAAGATGTATTTCTTACTAGTAAGATCTTGTGTTCTGAATTTGAGAATTTGAATGCTGGCCCTTTGAGTAACAAAACTTTGTCTGTGAAAGCAAACCAATCTCATAAAATTGTTAAAAAGATCAAAATACAATAACAAACAGGGAACATTTGTGTGATATGACATCTGTATTAGTCAGGGTTTGCTAGGGAAAACATTGAAACAATGGTCAGTCACAGAGTCAAATGAGAGTGTACAGAGCGTCTGCAGACCAGAGGCCGAAGGATTCATTCCAAAGTCTGGAGTTCACTGCAGTGTCCCATGCAAGTCTGCATTAGTAGCATGATGGGTCTACAGCAGAAGACTGAAGGACCCAAAGAGTCTGCGCTGGAAGCCAGGAGATGACGTCCAAGCCAAAGGTGAAGAATGCAGTTCCTGCAAAGAATGGAATCTCATCCATCCTTCCTTCTTTTATATACCATCCAGAAGATGAGCCACCATAGGGTGGGTCTTTTATACCCTAGAGTATAGAATTGCTAAGCAGATTTAGGTAAGCTTCTAAATGTGCCAAATTGACACAGTCAGCCACTACAACATCTGATTTATAGATGTGGCAAAAGTAGAGAATAAATAACTTCATAGGCAGATACCATGTAGTCAGAGGCAGTTCTGAGTCTTATTACTGAATGAATGAACCTAGGAATGAGTTTTAAAATTCTAAGTATGTTCATGTTAAATAAACCTTTAAAATTTCTAGAAAAGTCTAAAGTTGGTAAAAATAAACCCTAAAGGAGTGATAAGAAATGGTAGAAAATGTGTGATTGTTTTGTAAGTCAAACCCACAAATTTGTGTTTATCCTTATATATATTTTTAAATCTTTTATACTTCTCAGGAGACCTCCTAGTAAATCCAGATCAGCCAAGACTCACAATTCCTATATCTCAGATTGCTCCTGACTTGATCTTGGCTGACCTGCCTAGAAATATTATTTTGAATAATGATGAATTGGACTTTGAGCAAGCTCCAGAATTCCTTTTAGGTAAGTATCTTTGTAAGTTTGAGAAAAAAAAATTAGGATGTAGTTTCCTTCATATAATTTAGGTATCATAATCATACCTTTATGGAGTCTTCATATAGTTGGTATAATGGTTTTCATTTGCAATGATATATTTTAAAGTAATAATATGTAACAGATCTGGACCTAGCTTTTCACATTCATGTAGACTAGGACTAAAATGAGGAAGAAACTACATGGAAGCACAAATATGTTGAAACACACCCTTATGCTTGGTCTAATTGCTTGGGGATGAATCAGGCAGATAAGGAGACTTGGAGCTGAGTAAAGCAAAATAGCCATTTCACATCTCAAAAATATAAGGCCTAACACCTCTGTATAGGCATGGTAGCAGTTTTATTATTCACAAGGCAACACTGAGTTCTCATAAATATTTATGAAATACTTTGGAATTAAAAAATTGTAAGCCTTAAATTGGTAACAAAGTTCTATTCTTTGTTGTTAGTGTTTCCTGGTGTTCTGAACAGTTCATACTTATTGGCTAGCACCATGCTTTGTACCAGTGAATTTCAATAGGGTGTGATGGGGTTGCTGGATTCATGTAGCATTTTTAGGTGTTCACTAAGGAAGGCGAAGTCATAGTAATCAAATTCTAGTATTCTCATTCTGTTCTCTCATTGTACTTAGCTCTTGTGGCTTAAAAGGTGTTTTAAAGAATAATTCCAAAAGTTAAGAAGCTAAGAAGATTTACACATTATAATTAATTTTTGAAGGAAGTAGTCAGCATATGTGGTGTCGTACCATATCTTTCTGCAGAGTCCTTCTGTGGCTTCCCACCTCCAGGATAAATGCTAGGGTGCTTACAGTGCCTCTACCGCTATCTATTCAGCCCCCTGGTTACCTCTATGTAAAGTATGTTTTCTTAAAAATTTTCTTTTTTAATTTGCAAATACAAATTATATACACACATGCACAAACATACATATGTGTACATTATTGTCTAATCTATCAGAATATAGTACTATTAACCAAATGTTTCAAAATCTAGAACATGACCTAGAAAAACAAATCTTATGTTGTTCGCATTGATTTGGAAGTTTAGAATAATGCAACTGCCTTGGAACTCTAGAAAGGAATAGTGGGTTAACACAAGATACAAAATTGTCAGGGCTGGGGATTTAGCTCAGCGACATAAGCACCTGCCTTGCAAGCAGGCGGTCGTGAGTTCGATCCCTGGTACCAATAAAAATGAAAAAGACAAAAAAAAAAAAGATACAAAATTGTCAGTGCCATATCCTACATCTTAACCAATACTAAACCAGACTCATTTTTCTGAGGGTACAGACATGGTGTACCCTTTCTTTGAAGGAGCCCCTAGTCAGCCATGGCTTCTCAAAATATTTCTTTGTTCTGCACTGATACATGTTTCAGATTAAGACAGATTATTGAGCAGTATATGCAGAAACATTAGCACAAAAATCTACTTTGAAGCAGCTATGCTTTTTTTCATTCATATATAGACAGGTACATTTCCTCTTCCAAGTGTTATTTTTCTAGGGAACCATAGTGGACAGGGACTTCAGTAGCGTGATTTGGTAGGACTAGAAAGGTTTCCTTACTTTCAGTTTTTTCCTACCAAAGTGTCATGTGTACACAAAGCAGTCCTTACTCTTAAGCTTTTTTTATGGTCACCTGGAGAATGCAACAGTCCATACACTGTATTCATGTAACACTGGTTTCATTCCTACCTGAAGTTTTCATCTCTTTCCTTGTATATGTTTCTTCTGTCTGCTGTAGTAAGCATTTCCTTATTGTTGATAACTATCCAGATTAAGGGAAACCAAAGCAACGTGTCTGTTACCTAAGTTTCCATCTCTCCCTCTCATTGCTTTCTTTTCCTGCTCCTGTTTACAAAGCCCTTGTTCTTACACTTAACTCTTGCTGAAACCTTCATTTCCATCTGCAACTTCACACCAACAATATTAATTAAAACTGTTTAAAGGAAAATATTGAGTGAGTGCTGGAGGTACAGGGTGGGAGATACCAAGAATGATAAGATGCACATAGTACTTTTAACATGCTTAGAATCTCTTAGCATCAAGTATATTGGTGTGTGCCTATAATTTCAGCTATTTGGGAGGCTGAGGTCAAGGGTCATGTGTTTGAAGCCAGCACAGACCACAGCAAAACTCCTGTGTCAAAAACAAAAAGAAAACCAAAATACGAAACTTAGCAGCAATAAAAACTCCTCCAAACCTAATCTATTAGAAATACAAGACATACAAGTAATTTATTTTTTAACACACATTGCTTCTGAGCATAAAATAATGTATGCTTACATATGAGTATTATGGAGATTTAAAAAAATACACAGAAAGTTCCCATAGGTGCATAGTTTTGCCCTTAGAAAACACAAGTTTGAGTATTAAATATTTTTTTGAGAGACAAGGTCTTTCTATGTAGCAGGCCGATCCCAAACTCACAGCTATTCTCCTGCTGTAGCAAGTGCTGAGATTACAGGCATGCATCATTATGGCCAGCTGTTTATATTTTCTTGTAGCTTTTCTGTTTTCACTCTGTTATATCCATTGAATTACCTGGTTTCAATGTACTATATGGGCACCATAGATATCGTTTGAATAAGATTTTCTGTATGTCAGTAGAGAACAGTAATCCATAGGGTTGATCATGGTCTTGGTCTCCCAATATGTATTGGGTCTTGTAGGCTAAGTTCTACATAGTTGGAGATGATGAGGCAGCAGAACTCATGAAGGAAAGACATAGAAAGGGCACTGATTGAAGGTATGCAGGTTGAAAGCGTGAAGGTACAGGGTGTTTCAGCTATTTCAGTTTGTCTAAAGCAGTTCTCAGCCTTAGTTTAAAGAGAGAGAGAGTTAAGAGAGTGCAAAAAAAAAGAGAGAGAAAAAAGTAAAGAAAAATCCTTGTAACCAGTATTTCTCAAGACTAAGAATCTTTAAGCCCAGACATTAGTATTTGTAAAAAACTCTTGATAGGTTCAGTCAGCCAGCAGTAGGAAGAAAAGTAGTGAACTTAAACCTAGAGGAGACACAGAACAAAAAACAAAACAACAAAGCAAAAGATCTGGAAAAGGAATTCAGGGCTAAATTTGAACTGTATTTGATTTAATAGGCCATTTGCAGTCATTTGGCAGTGAGCAGGAGGATGACACAAAGAAGAATTTTAGGGGATTTAATTTAGTGGGTGAGAGAGTGCACGGGGAGTGAGCCTACATGAGGCACTAAGGGCAGAGAGGAGTGCAGTATGGGAACTCAAAGAGAGGTGTGCACAGAGGGAGCGTGGCCTGCCCGTGAGCTGTAGGGCTGGGTGTGGGCAAAAACCTGAATTAATTTCCTTATTTTAACTCCAGAAGACCTGGGAAGAATTTTATTTTGTTTTTATCAGCTAGATAGAGGCTGAAATATAACCTAATTTGGAGAAAAGGTAGTGAGTGTAGTCCATGGTGCAGGATGGCGGTTTGGAAGCGTGCAGCAAGGTGTGGACTCACGGGGCAGCGTGGACAGGGTTAGTTTGAGGTTCTCTGCATAGCGGGGATTATTGAGGGAACTGTGCAACCAGGCAGGACATAACAGCAGGAAAACAAGAAGACTGGAGACAGTATCTTCAGGTGTCTTCGTTTGTAGAGCCCTAAGAAGGAAGGGGGAACATGGAAAGAGCTTGGCTCCCTGAAACAAGTGGGTCTGATACTTCCTCACCTATGCAACAGAGATAATTACTACAGATGAAACTCACATGCTTTTCCTGTTTGAAAAGATAAACTTAAATACTTTGTGTATTTTTTTTTTCTCTTAAAGGTGATGGAAGTTTTGGATCCGTTTATCGAGCAGCCTATGAAGGAGAGGAAGTGGCTGTGAAGATTTTTAATAAACATACATCACTTAGGCTGTTGAGACAAGTAAGCCATCCAACAATGTTATTCCATCAAATTGTTATCAGATGAAGTCTCAGGAGATTTCTTTCCCAGTCCTTGATGTCCTGAACAAAGATTGGACAAATCATTACAGAAAAATCAGTCAGGGTATATACTTATAAAGGTGGAAAATAAAATGTACTTCATAGTGTGGAAGGCAATGGCCCCAAAGATAAAATGAAACAGGAGATGGTAGGGGATCCTGAACAGAGACACTGAGACACGGAGCAGGAGCAAGGGCAGTTTATCACTGGCATCCCGCAGGGAGTAGTGTCTACCCGAGGGACCAGGACAAAGCCCTGTTTCTGCTTGTATACTGTTTCTCTCCGCTGGGGCAATTTTCCATTGGGAATCAGCAGAAAGTAAAGCTGCAGAGAAGCAAAAGCGATGATTCACAGTTAACCAGGAGGCAGGAACTTCACACAGGCTATGCTAAGTCTGCAGTGGTCCTCTGATGTTTACCTCACTGCTGAAGTGGAGTGTGACTGGAGTCAAACCATCCATCTCTTCCGGGAGCTCAGTTACATGGGTTCCTCAGACCGGCTTAGCTGTTCAGTTAACCTAGAGCTATCCAGCTTCACCCCACGAGGTGGTCTCCTCTCTCAAAAGGAGAAGGAGCTTCTCATATCCACAGTATCTAAGTTGGGTCCCACCTCAGGACAATCCTCCTTTCCAAAACTCATTTGGCTTCTCACATCATATATAAAATGTCATATTGCAAAGTTTGCTTGGTTTCTTTTTTTTTTTTTGGTCATTTTTGTTTTTATCGGTACCGGGGATCGAACTCATGGCTGCCTGCTTGCAAGGCAGGTGCTTATGCCACTGAGCCAAATCCCCAGCCCCTTTGTTTGGTTTCTTGCCCAATATAAATGCAGGTCTTTCGATTGGTCATGCTTGTGTGTGAAAGAAGAGTTAAAAATTATGTTTTCTTACTGGTCTGATGTACAATGCCTGTGGCAAATCACAGTCCAGAAGCAGTGCTTTTCCGATTCCTCCCTTGCATGGTGCTCACAAGCCCTAAACCTGGAATCACTGTGGGTCTCGTGGTCTCCACGTATCTTCTGTGCTGTGGAAATGTCTCACTCTACCGGTTAGCTCTGGGTTTTCATGACTTCTGACACATTACACCTGGTTGGTTGTCTACCTTGCACCAGCCCTGATCTACCTCAAAGTCACACATTGTTAATTTCCCAGGATTCTTACAGAAAATGAAAGATCTCTTTCTGGGGATCAGAAATGCATGAAAGATAGAGAAGATTTACATTTATTAAAAGCAGTAAAAGTAGGGAAAGACCTACACTCTGCAGAGTGCAGAGCAGGCCACTGAAAGAGCTTATAGTAGCTATGACAGATATTTTTTAAAATTTTATTTTAAACGGGGTAAAATTAAACAGAACAAAACAGAACAGAACAGATCAGAAGAAAACACTGTAAGAGACACAGATTTCAAAGCAAGATAACAGGAGATCTTCACTGTGTATTGTATTGTCTCTGGTTTTCTTCTACATAGTTGTCCATATCTTCACACACAGTGAATTCATACAAAACAAAATAGTACTGATCAGAACAGTACTATTTTGAAGGCATTTTAGGCCTTCAAAACCAATCGGGAAATCAACAATGGCTGCCATAATGTCTCTCGTTCTCTTCAAAATAGCCATCCATACCTTCATGTATGTTGAAGTTAAACAATGCAAAACAGACTAAAATCACTCTGAACAAAGAATAATAGCCTTTCTGGATTTCACATCAGGATTCTATGGAATCAGCACTGGGTACCTTAGTGTCTCTCTTTATTCAAAGTAGCTGTTCATTTCATCATGCATTATATAATCGATTTTCATAAATTGTTTAGGAGAAGTTCTACACATGTATGAGTCTCTACACATGTATGAGTCCTTTCTGTATTAGAGGGGAAAACAAAACAAAACAAAACAAATTCCTAGAAAAACACGAAACAAAAAAGACAAATAAATAACAATAGCAAAGAGCCCACAACACTGACAATGTAGGCCTTCAAAAACAAGGTGGTAGGAGCATAACTGAGGTTGTTGTTTTACATAATGATCTTCAACAGCTCCTCAGATCACCATACACTAACATGCACAATTGTTCCAATCGTATGAATGTTAACTATTTTGTAGAACTCTTATTTTTCTCATGTAGTTGTGAAAATGCAAGATGATGACCACATTTCCCTCAATAGTTTAATTATGAAACTTCATTTTGTCTTTAATGGAGTAAAATCTTTTTCTCTGCTTAAAAAACAAAGCAAAGACAGCATTTGGAAAATTCCTGTGGTTGTAATATTTAAGTCTGATATAAATTGTGGGGGAAAGCCTCACATTTTATCTTTTCGGGTAGAATCTTGGTACTCAGAAGTGTGCACCGTGGACCAGGGGTGCTCTGTAAGATTGTTAAACACTCAACTCGGGCCTGTCAGGAATGTGTTCTCCAGTCATCAGATTATTGCTGCTTCTGCCTGCTTCCAGAGCTGGGGCCCAAGCTCTCGACTTCAGGTCCTGTTTTCTACAGAATGCTTACCTTTTATTTTCTCTGCTGTTAGACATAGTGAGTTTTTATTTTAGTAAATATGGCTACTGTATGTTCGGAAAGAAAGGTGAATTCTAAAGCATGACTTCACATTGCTAATTTGATTAGAAGTCAAAAATCCTAAATAGAAATTTTAATTAAGGTTGTACCTTTCTTTTTTGAATATGTCAACTTTATTTATTTATTTATTTTTGATACCAGGGATGGAACTCGTGTCCTCACACTTGCCTGCGAGGTGCTTGCACCACCAAGCTAAATCCCCAGCCCTTAGAAACTGTCAACTGTAGAAAGAACTTACTAGTTGCCTGTTAACAAAAGATGGACCAAGTTAGCCTCTTGATTGAGTCTTGCAATTGTCTTTCTTGTTTCCTAAAATTTTTAAAAATTTAAAATCTGTTATCTTAGCTTTCCTAATATAGTAATAATTATAGCTTGAAATAAAACTTTTATTTTTTAGTATGCCAACTCTAAATAGCATGTCTCATTGTCTTTTGAGATGAAGAAAATTCTCATTATTATTTTTTCTCCTCTTGCCAACCCCTACCTAAATGCTAGTTTATTATTTTTATAAAGATAAAGTTTATAACATTTATATTTTGTAATTATAATTAAGTTGTTTGCCTTCTGCATTTACTTTTATTTTAAAACAAAACCAATAAATAGCTTTTATATTTCATTTAACTTATTTGTACAAAACCAAAGTATTTCTACAGATATGTAAGAAAAAGTAATCTTTTAGTAGTCTTTTTCTGCTAAATTAAGTATTTTCCAGGTAGAAAAGTAAAATGGATTATTTATTATTATGTGTTTATCATCAGTTGAAAATAGGACCTTATTTTAATTTAAATTTAAAAATTAAATTTGGACCTTATTTTGATTTAAATAGGGCCTTATTTTAATTTTGGTCACAATTATATCTTAATTTTTACGTGTCTTTTTAGTTATTTGGGCTTTCTGATAATCTTTTATTTAACATAGTGAGAGGAAAGATACACCCATCCATTATGGTTTTATTAGTTCTTAATAATGTAGCTTCTTTCTTCCTTTTTTCACTTGTGAATTCTTACTCTAAAATGAGATAGATTTCCAGGTTATTTAGAATTTCACAGATTTATTTTCTTTGTCCTTGATTTTTTCAGATTCTGTGGTTTTCTTAGCTGAATTGCCTTTATATTTTGTTGGAGACTATCTTCGAGTAATTTTTTTTCAGAAAACATGCTTTTGAGGGAATTCAAGGTTATGATTTTAGTTCTTACACATTAAAACTCTCTGAATTTTGTTCTCATACTTGATGGATGGATATGCTATTGTAATTTTTAGAAATCTAGGCTTAAAATAATTTTTCTTCAAACTTTGAAGAAAATTTCATTGATTATTTTAGTACCTGCTGTTTCTAATGAGTAGGCTAATGTCAATCAAATACTTTTTTCTCATATAAGTTAACTTTTGTTTGAAAGTTCTTTTAAATCTTTTAGATTTCTTTTATTCTTGGTACCCTGAAACTTCACAAATATGTTCATCTGTCACTTTTTGATTCTGATTTTTTGAGACAGGGCCTCCTTTTATAGTCCAGGATAGTCTTGAACTCAAGGTGATGCTCCTGCCACGGCCTCCTGGGTGCTGGGATTACACTATACTGCACCAATATACTGCACAATGAGTCACTTTCTTATTCCCTCTACTTCATTATTGGGGGAAATTTTCATCTATGAATTCTTTTCTCTTTATCATTTTCTTCACAACATTTATTGATCATTAGCTAGATCGAGCAGCTACCAGGTTAGGTGGTGGAGCAGTGGTCAGCTAAACCAGTTAAAGTCATGCTTTTCTTGTATCTGATTACTCAAGATCGATTATTTTCAATCTTTTGTTCAGGAGTATTCACTAGATGTTGAGACCTTTGGGTCTCTTGAATTTCCTCTTAAAGCTCTAGCTGTAATGTCAGTGAGTTATATGGCTACTTCTTACAGATTTTTACTTTATCAAAGTGACTCATTTATTATTTAGTGTTTTACTGAGTTTTTTTGATAATCATATTTTTAATTTCTAGAAGTTTTCCCTCTGGTTACTGCTTTGTGATATCATCAAGAATTTCCATTTATATCATTTATAATTTAATTACTTCAACTACTTTAATATCTGAGGTTTCTCTGAGGTCATTTGTTTTGTGGGTTTATAGTCTTTCTCTTTTATCTATTGGTTTTCCACTTAAGAGTATTTCTGATGTTCCCTATATCTGTGAATAATGTAGTGGTTATTAAAGGATTGTACTGATTATCAAAGGTAACTAGAGTTCTCAGTGGGTGGGCATTATTTCTGGCTACATTTTATTTGGGTTATACAGGCAGCCCCCCCCCCAGCCTGCTAAGCCTCCAATAACCACCTCTGGAGGTGCTGTGCTTTAGTCTGTGTCCCGTGCTTAGTACTACATTGGTTTTCTCTCTTTAACTTGTGGAATTCTAGATGTTTCACGCTCCATCCTGCATCTCTTCCGAGCTCAAAAACACAATGAGTTTCATCTGATAAATTACCTTCATCTGACAAATTACCTTCACTTTCTACCTTAAAAAATAAAAATTCTGGGAATGTTCACTATAGACTGGATTTAATACAGTAGTTCTGGCCAATTTTCTCATAATTTCTTTGAGCTTGGTGTATTGCTTTTATTCTGTTGGGATGGCTGTTCTCATTGTAGTAACATCAATTCCAGGTCTTATGGTTATGTATCAGAAGCATAAGAAGACAAGAAAAGTCCCTCTTTAAAATCTTGTATTTCAAAGGAACCAAAATTCTGACATACTAACTCATTAAGTGAAAAAGAAAAACTTCTCTTGGCCTCCATTGAGCAGTGTTGTTTTCTTAACAAGCGCCTTTGTTAAGGGCAGTGCTGTGTACTGATTGCCTTAGAGTTGTGATAGTGAGCCAATCGCTGTGGCAGTGAGGATAGTGCCACTTGGAATATTCTCACTTGGAATTTTTCCTGCTGCGCCATTGCAGTCAGCTCCCTTAGAGCTCCATGGACCCTATGGGTGAAGATTTCATACCTCAGCAAAATCAAGAGGTTCTTAGGAGGAAAGAAGGGGATCCACAATCAACAGTGCTTACTTCATTACTCCTTGGCTTGGTCTGGGACTTAGTCCTTTTATGTTTTTTTCTCTCTGAGTCTCTGTTGGCATTAGGGTAAGAGAGAGAAATAGGGTGAGAGAGAAAGTAGAATTTAGTGCTCATTCTGCTGTCTTTTACCATAAATCAACTGTATTTCAAACTCTTCATCCTCTCTTTTCCCTTTGATTAATGAAAAATGTTCTTTGTGATTGGATCTAAGTAATCTTTGTAAACTTCAAAAAATATGTAGCTATAATATTTCATTATTCTGAATAATGAAAAATACAAAACATCCTGGGAAAAGTTTTTTTTTTTTATTCTGGGAAAATCTTGATTATCAGTCACACTATAGTTCTAGAAATAAAATGAAGCATTTTGCAAATTGAAGTAAGTCTGTGAACAAAATCTGGCACGATCCCTTTCAATCAATCCATAAGTAATTTTTATATAAATTGATTTTCTAGGGCTGGGAATTTAGCTCAGCGGCATAAGTGCCTGCCTTGCAACCAGGCAGTCGTGAGTTCAATCCCTGGCACTGATAAAAAAAATTGATTTTCTAGCTTTGTTATTAATCTTCAGTATCTTCAGTTTTATTAAATGTGTTTGAGTAACTCTGATGGATACCAAAACACTAAAAATGTGTACAAAGCTGATTGCAGGTTGATGAACCAGGAAAATGGTAGGAGAAGTAGAAAAAGAATCTGCATTATGTAGTTCATTTAGAAAAGAAAAAGTAAAAAGAATACCATGTTAGCATTCAGTCCAGTGTTTTTTAAGGTCAGTCTATCAGTGATTATGAACTGGCAAAGATCTATAACACTCTCTTGCTGCTTTTTTTCTGGAATCAGTAAGCAGCTTTCCCATTATAGGATGTTCGATTAAGCATCTGACTGCCTGTGGAAGTAAACAGAGCTAACCTTACTTGTTCTCATAAATTTTAACCAATGGAGCTAATCAGACATGGGAGGAATGGGTTTTATCTGCTAAGCAAATGTGCCTTCAGCCTGCAGCTTTGTTCTTGGGAAATCTCCACTCAGGGTTTTCAGCTTTCTTTTCTCAGCTTGTGCTGCTCTCCACACTTGTGTTTCCTGACACGAATGCTGTTGGCACTGATATTCTGCATCTTTGAAGCTGGCTGTCAGAGAAGCAGCAGTCATAGTTCGAAACATGAGTTGGTTTCATATCACATAAAGCTATACTTTTCAACTAAATTATGGTTTCAGAATAAAGTAGAATGTATAGAATAAAGTACATAGAGAATTCAAAAAAAGGAACCACCATTAAAAAAACTGTAGTTTCACACATAATGTGATCTAGAAGGATATATTTCTAGAAAATGAGAAATTTCAACTGAATTATGGTTTCACAGTCATGAGGAATATCCAAAGTGCCTGTGGACTGTAGCCCCATAGTATCCTTAGAGGAATCTACAGCCTCACGAGAGGAGTCTACTTTATGTTGAAGCAAAGGGTCTCCTTTAGGAGAGGGGACCACGGAGAGGCCTTCAAGGAAGGCCATATCCAAATAGCAAGGTGTCCCAGTCAAGGAAGAGTGAAAGGATTTCTAGCCAGAGAGGTCAGTAGAAGCAAAGATCCTGCAGCTGGGAGTTGCTAAGCAAGTGCAGGAAGTTGAACAAATGTTAGTATACTCAGGGCCATGAATGAAGAGGAAGAAGAAATAAGGTGGAGCCTGGAAGATGCCTCAGGCCAGGTAGAATAAGGTCACCAGGTATAGAAATACATAGGATTTCAGTCTAACACTAGTGCAAAGTCATTAGGGAGTGTCTGGATGAAAGCATGCTATACATTTTTGTAGAGTTAGGATTATCCCAAGAAATTTCTGAAGGTGTTAAACCACAGAGGACAGGTTTTATGCCAGGTGCCAGTTTCAGTTAGTTGAACTGCAGTGATTTTCAGAATCCTGAGCTGAGACACCTTCTGTGGCTAACAAAATTTGGTAGAGAAGATTGACATCACCTATTAGTGTGACTGCTTGTGTATCCTGTTCCTCTCTCAAATGTTCTGGTAAAAGCAGAGCAAAAAGAAAAATACAACTTAAAAATTTAATTCCAAGAATAGTTTCAAGACCAGGTGTTGATTATTGAAAATAGTGAACATAGTTTTAAAAACACAAAATAGAAATGGGAAGTTTGGGGTAATCTGTCATGCCATAGGAAGCTGCTCACTGGGGAAGGAGGCAGATACTTGGGCCAGAGCCCATGCTGTGATACCCCTGAATCACTTTGCATTTTTGCAGGAGCTGGTGGTGCTTTGCCACCTTCACCATCCCAGCTTAATATCTCTGCTGGCAGCTGGGATTCGTCCCCGGATGCTGGTGATGGAGCTGGCCCCTAAGGGTTCCCTGGATCGTTTGCTGCAGCAGGACAAAGCCAGCCTCACCCGGACCCTCCAGCACAGGATCGCGCTCCACGTGGCTGATGGTTTGAGGTGACTTGGTCATATTATTTTCTATTCAGGGCCTGAAACGTGTGACTTCTAGCCTACTTCCAGGCTCTGACAATAGCACTTTGCAATAGCTTTGCGACCCATTAGTATTTTCCAAGTAATCTTGATGACAACTATTGTTTCCTGGGTCCAATTTTGTAATTTCATAAAATAATAGCAGAAAGAGCATACAGTACTTCATAGCTGGAATTCTGTTCTGGATCTCATAGTCGTAGCTCTGTTCTGACCTGCCTCCTCTACAGAGATGTAAGTTAGACTTTGAGGCATCAAAGTATCAATTAGATAATTCTGATTGATAATTCTCATAAGCCCGGAGGAGAACCAAATCAAATTCAGTGGCTAGATTCAGTGTTGACCTTATGGGGAAATTTGATTCTGTTCTAGTCCAATTCAGTTTGTGACCAGAATTGTGAAAAGAATTCAACTTGTTAAACAAGGTAGCACTGTAATTGGAGATTTCTTCGTTGCAACAGTTTCCTGGTTTTACCTGTAAATCATCCTTCATTCATTTCTCTTCCATCTCATACCTAATATTTCTGCAAATCTTTTCAGCCCTGCAACTAAAATACATCTTTATGCAGCCTCTTCTCCCAAATCTCCTGCTCCCACCTGAGTCTAAGCCCCCATCACCACTCATTGCCCAACTTGTCCCTTTGCTTTAATTTTTATCCCAAGAAATTGGTTATCCTTGACACAACCGCTGGACTGATTTTTCCATCATGGAAATTAGCATAGGTCTTTTTCCTGTTGTTAACCCTCTCCTGGCTCACTTCCTGCCCACTGCACTTAGTAATTTGCTTCATTTGATTTTTTTCTTTTTGTTGTAGTTAGGTTTGTGCTCAGAGAGTGTCCCCGGTGACTGTGTGTCTCTCTGGCATCAGGACCCCTGCTCCTGCTGCTTGCACTTTATGTCTTCATTTTTGAAATATCTGTCCTTGCCCCAGTATCCTACATGCAACTGGCTCACCATGCTGTCTCCAACAGCTAGAACAGTGCAGCTTCAGAACACTGTTGGGGAGGCAGGGAGAGAGTGGGGGAGGAGGGAAGGAGGAAGAGTGTGCCCAGTGCCTGGTGTTTGCACCATGGATGCAGTGTTCCTTTGCTGCCTTCTCTTTGGGAAGGTGTGGTGAATATACCTTTCTACCGGTAACTGCAAATGTATAGGCAGTGGACAGCAAGGAAAATGAATTAGTCCCTCAGAAAACCAAGTGAGGAGCATGTAACTACATATCAGTGGTTTACATAGAACATAGTAAAGACGCTAAACAAATAGACTTTTGTGCCTGAAAGGATCCAGAAACTACTAAAGACCGTGTAGTGTTTTAAATGCAACCGAATGCAGGGATTTGGATTTGGGGTGAGATACCTGCTTTGAACACCAGGGGGAACCTTTTGTCAAGCAGCTCTCCACAAAATGCAGTTTAGGCTGCTGTGTTTCAGTCACTTTCCTTAAGGTAACTAACTTCTGGTATGAGTGTTTCCTAGTTCTTCCACATAATCCCTGAAGTACTCATTTATAAAATGAAGACTTGCTATTTTTATGCGTCTGTTTGACAAACCTTATCTTTAAGACAACTTATTTTAGTTCTCTGAAACCTTCCTTTAGGTAACAAACCAGCAGTTTCTGATGAAATAAATGAACTCTCAGCATATTTTTTTTAAATATGTTGCCTTATTTATTCTTAGCATAATATCAGGAGAGCTTTTGAGACTTATGCCACAAGAGGTTAGTAGGTTTCAGTAGCTATTATTTTGTTTTTACCAGCATTGTGTGTTTTTAAAGCTTAGCATTAAGATTTGTTAACCCAAATAAAATTTAACAGAGAACTATAACTGAAGAAGTAGAAAGTAACAATAAAACTACAGCTCTTTGGAACATCTTGGGTGAAGGAGCTGTTTAGAATGGCATACAAGAACTCCTGCACATTACATCTCCCCTCTTCTGTGATCTTGCTGTCTACTAATATGTCTGCAATTAGTCTGTTCCTTTCAGCTCATTCTCAATAGTTTAGTAGGATACTCACCTGCATCTTCCAAAATTTTCAAAACTGAGTTTTCCCCCTTGCTATATTTTTGTGCCTGGAACCTGTACTTTCTCTTGTGTTACCCACTCACCATGACAGGACTCCTGTAGTCACATCCACACCAAAGACCTCCTTCCCCCGTGTAAGCATCCATTTATCCATCAAGTCCTTGAGATTATTTTATATGATTGTAAAATAAGTTTATTTATTTATTTATTTTGCCATGGATGTTGCCTTGGTTCAATATCTCCAAGAACATTTCTTTTATAACAAAAACCTGATTATGCCTGACATTCCTGGTGCTCACCTTTGTGCTCAGAGTCCATCCAACTCTGTGGCATAGCACCTGTGCCCTTCATGTGTGCCACCAGCCTACCCACCTCTGCAGCCTCTCACTGTCCCCCTGCCTGCGCTCTGCATCCTTCCCGGGCTGCAGGGGTGAATTTCCATTGACGTTCATGTCTCTATCCTTACTTTTCCCATTCTTCTCTTTCCACACAGTTGTCCCCTGTGAGTTTACCCAAATAGCCCCTCTGCTGTGAAGCTCATCTCTATCAAGCAGGAACCTTTTTCATGTTTCTGGTCCTTGCTCCTTGCAGGATGTTGTGCTGGATGCTAAAAATGAAGCGTAGAGATGACTTGGCACTGGAGCTGGAAAACTTGGTCTAGAGGGAGAGTCTGTTTGCTCTCTTTGCTTCTGTGCTTTTTTTCCTTTATGCTTTGCCAGCATTGGTGCTTACACAGTCACTAGCTTTAGTTGGGCACCTTTCTGCTCTGCTCTGGGTGGTGGCCTCCTAAGGGCAGAGATGCAAAAATGGCTTTGTATCTCCTCATAACTGGCTCTCATAGATGCCTCATCCATGTTTGTTAAAAGAATGAATGCATTCTATTTTTGGAGTTATTTTATTCAGCACAAGATAAGATTGGACTTTAAATTATGAAGGCAGGTGTTTCTTAGAAATTCTGATGATAATCATGATTAAAGAATAGTTATTTAATATAGTTAAATATAGTCAATTTTGATAAAATATTTTATAATATTCATTGTTGCACAGGACATCATTTATGGCTGAATTACTGTTTGGAAGGCAGGGGTCTGTACTTACTACTATTTCTAAAGCTATTTTACTATTCTATTAAAAACTATTAAATTATATTTTTAAAGATTAAATTATATAGTTGAACATTTTAACCTAGATAATCTCTTTCCCACTGGTATTATTTCAAATTAAACTTAACTATTTTTTGGCACTTAGGAAGCATTCTGAAAGTCTGTGTTCTATAAATACAGAAAGAGGCATACATTATGAAGGATTCAGAAGTTATTTAATGATGTGTGACTTGGCTTTAACTTTTTCATTCTTAATCTCTAGCTTTTCTCTTCAACAAAGAAAGAATAGCTAATGGACATTCAGTAAGCCATTAGTAAATTTTCCTTTCAAGCTCATTACTTTTTGTTAAGGTCAATTTCATTAGCGCATTTATCTTATTTATCAGCCCAAACTATGCATACTGAAATGAATAGGCCCACTGTCAAATGGCCTACCTGCCTCCTGGAAGAGGGAGAACCTGTCGCATTAGTTGATGCAATTAAACGACACAGGCTGTCTAGATTGTCACTCAGTGAAAGGTTCAGGGCAGCACAGACTCTTTGCTCCTAATCCCTGCAACAATGATTGGAAGAAGGAATGGAGTAAACACTCTAACTATCATCTGAACCCAAACCAAAAGCCACAAGCAAACAAAGAATTGAAATTTACCTACATTAAATCCTGTGAAATGTTCTTTCAAGGTAGGTCATATGAAATAGGAGGAACAGAGAAGGCAGAGTTGAATTTTGTAGATGTCCAAGGAAAGGTGACAATAGTTGTTGGGTCTTTGTAAGCTCTCTGATGATGTTTCTAGAATGAATAAAACCTTGACATTAAAACTTCCTGGTGTTTTATATTAACTAGTTTTTAAGTCCTTTACTGAAATATCCAATTTTAGTTGCATAGATCAGTCTCTGAAAAAAAGATTTTCATATCCCTCAATACCGTCTTCCCCACACCAACATTTTATTCATTCTTTTGGCCCAAATGTTCTTCGTTCACCTTATTATAACAGGATAGAGTTTGCATTAAATTATACCTTCAAACAGAGTAAACAGAGAAATCTTACATTTTTATTTGTTACGTTTAAAAGTAGGAAATCTCCGCTGAAACATCTGGAAGCATTTTAGAAAAATAATAATGAAGATGAGTGATAGAATTTTAAAAGCTGACATAAAGTTCTGTACAGTTGTTTAAAAATCAAAGCTGTTAAATAAATGAGAGTTACAACAAAATCTTATTGCCTCTTACTTAACATTCATATTTTAAAAATAGTTGAGCTACTTATTTTACATTAAGAGAATTCAGAATTTCCTTTCTGTAATTGTTAAGGTGTATGAAAGAAAGTCCTCTGAAGCTGTTACCTTGCCTGAGATGGTTGTATTTTAAAATTTATATCATCGTCATGTTTGATCCATTTTTTAAAAAAAGCATAAACTTGCCTTGTAATGTTAGATGTATATGTTTTGATTTCCTTCTGTAATATCTCTAAAGTTTCAGTGGTCAAAGTGCAGAATTTTTGATGTTTTACATAATGGACATAACAAATTGGAGGAAATTATGACAAAATTATTATACTGTAATCACAGTTTAGTAAGAGTCCCTGTGCATTTTCTGACAGATACCTCCATTCGGCCATGATTATCTACCGAGACCTGAAGCCCCACAATGTGCTGCTTTTCACCCTGTATCCCAACGCTGCCATCATTGCCAAGATTGCCGACTACGGGATTGCTCAGTACTGCTGCAGGATGGGCATAAAGACGTCAGAGGGCACCCCAGGTAGGACAGGAGGGTTGCTTGATTCTCTGCAGGATGGATAGACAGTGTTCTTACTGTGGGTTCAGGAGAGTCAAAAAAAGTAAAAATAAAAATAAAAAACACTGTGGCTTATCACACTGTGAACAGGTCTGAATAGTGGTGATGTTACATTTACATTTTTATTGTCTTTTTTAGGACCAAAAACAAAAGCTTGATGTAATGTTCCAGGGCAAAACTGTGTCAAAAGGACAGAATATTTGATGTCAAGTTATATTTTAAAAGGTGGATTTTAATAATCTTCCAATATTCCAGAGCAATGGTGGTGAATCTATGGTGCATGTGTTGCAGTGGGCTGTTTGTACCATTGAGTGCTCTAAAAGGTTCCCCATCACTCCTCTAGAGGTATTAAAAGTAACACCAAGCTTTCATATAGGTACTATCAGCTATTAACTAAAAATGGAGCTAACCAAATTTAGGTAAGCAAATTCTTTTTCTGCCGGATATGGTGGCACATGCCAGTAATCCCAGAACTTGGGAGGCTGAGGCAAGAGGATTGTTGTGAGTTTGAGATCAGTTTGGGCCACAAAGTAAGTTCAAGGCCACCTAAACTGCATAGTAAGAGCCTGTCTCAAAAAAAAAAAAAAAAAAAAAAAAAAGTGATTCTTTTTCACAACTCTGAACTCAAAAAACTCTGAAAACCTAGAGATTTTTAATAACTAAACTCTCCTGATACTATGATCTTTATTTCTTATACTCACTTGTAAGGTGTGACGTTTCACTACAAAAACCTAAACATGAGGGTCATCCCTGACCCTGTGGAGGGTTGATGTAATGTAGATTATTTGCATTGTTATTCCTAAAATAAAAGGTATTTATTCCCCAACATCTCTGATTCCAGGCATTTTACATAAAAGCTTTGATCTGGGTTTGTCCTGGTTGCAAAGTTCTTGACAGAAACACATTTTTTTTTCTTATTTTAGATCAATCTGAGAACTTAGGGCTTTTTATGCACTGCATTTCAGTTTTCTTTCTTTGCATTTTGTACAGTGTTAATAGTTCTATGCTTAAAGATGGTGTGTTCCTCTTTGCAGCCCTGTGTAGGGAGATAAGTCTTGGTACTAAGGAAAGTGAAACATGCTCACACTGGAGACCATTATTACATCTATGGTCCAACATCATTTTTTTGTTTTTTAATGTTTTCTGTACTGACCTCAATCCTTTTGTGTGTGTGTGTTCTAATAATCCTATTACTACTAATATTAATTACACCCAGTAAAACCTCATTTTTGGTGTCATCATACAGCTTTGTGGTTTCATAGCCCTGCATCCAGCATGTGCTTCACACCTCTCTCTCTCTCTGCTCTGTGGGACAACCCCCCCCCCCGCCCGCCCCCATCATCCCAAGCTTGCTTCTCAGCTTCCTTCTGCTTCTACTCCCAGGCTTCTCAGAATCTCAGTTTCTGATTCATGAGCAGACTCACAAGGCCAGTAATCTGTATAAACTTATCTTTTAGTTTGAGCAGGGAATAGAAAATTGTGGGGGTTGACATCCATTTTGGAAAGGATAGCTCTGCTTTTAGTCAACCAGTATACTGAGTCATTTGTAAATAAGATTGTAGGTGTCTTGATGGCAACTGGGATTGCAGCTAATGCCTAGAATAGAAGTAAATGAGCTAGCGGATATCTCACTTGGCAAAGAGGTTCTAGTTTGCTCCTCCATTCCCCAATTTATGTGCCAATATAAGCAATAGCTGAGTTCCCTAGATTCCAATGCCTGATTTCATTTTTGTTCCAAATATATTCTTCCTTTGCATGGTTGTTGTGGTAGTTAGAGATTATACAGAGAACAATTAGAATCGGGACATGGAATTTATAATATTATTTTTATAAAGGTCACCAGGAGTTAACATAAGAAAATGCAGGAAATCCATGTGCAACACCAAAGACATAGAATATTTAGTTAAGGGCCTAAATCCCACAGCAATGTCCCACATGAGTCCAGGTAAAAACCTAGAGCTCATGACCGTGCCTCCCATGAGTTCACCTGCAGGTCCAGAGCTCACAAGGATTCATGCCAGTCTCTTTTATGGATCTGTGCCGGGAAGACCCAAAGGTCAGGGGTGGAAGCCAGAAAGTCCATGCCAGCAGGGTGAAGGAGCTGTGCTGGTGGGTTGAGGGTTCTACACTGGAGCTGAGAAGTCATACTCACAACAAAGACCAGGGCTGTCTTGAAAGGCATCACAGCCATCCGGAGTGACATGGAGGCCCTGAGCTCCTCCTCCGACAAGCGCAGTCGGGTACATGCCAGGAAGCCAGTGTGACGAGTTCATCCTGGAGACCAAGCCACACATGTCTTCCTCTCCAGAGCCAGGAAGCAATGCTCGATGTGAGGACCAAAGCTTCTCCAGGAGAGCCAACAGCTCAAACAGCAACTTGTGGGAGAACCCACATGCCTCCATGGAATGACGCATTAACACCTCAATGCCTCAACACCTTCCTTCTTCTCCACCTATTTATCCTGGCAACTTTCCTCAGGTGGAGAATCTTCACTCAATGCCATGCTGATGTAATCCAGCTGGCATTAAGTTGACCACCAGTTCTTAATCGATAGCAGTTGTATTTTGGAAACATTCTCATAAGCACATCAGAGTAAATATGTTAGCTGACCGTCTCTGTAGGTTGGTAAATAATAATAAAAGTAACTATCATTTCTTGAATACTTGCTGTGTGCCTTACATTAGAGACACAATGTCTTATCTCTGTTGTCAGATCTGAAAGCTTGCTAGTATTTCCTCAGTTGTAAAATGAGAACGTTTAGACTTAGTAATATTGTATCACACAGTGAGTGGCTGATATAACTCACTCCAAACAAAAACTGATTCCAGAAGTATTTAACTTTAAATCCAACAGTCTCTTTCCTAGATCACCCGCAACTCTAACATGTACTTGAAGGGACTTAAATACTCAGTCATAGTTATTAAAAAGCAAAACAAAAGAACAGAACCATTAATGATCAGTAGAGTAGCAAATATTGTCAACTGCACGTTTGGAAAAACAACTGTCGAGGGTGAAATTCTGGAGGCTTATTTACTCCTCCACCCAGGAAAAGTGGATGCAGCATGGTGACATTGTCTCTGTAGATCTGCTCTTATTTTCATGGGATTCTCAGGTGGCTGGACTGCTCTTGCAGTTCCTTTCATGTCCATTCATTAGGGCAGTGGAGCTCATGGGGACTGCTGAGGTGCTTCTGGATTTGAGCTCTGCTGCTCACCTCAGTGGTCTAAGCCAGCTAGCATCCAGCTCAGTTCAACTGGATTCACACTTACTGCCTTTTGTTTTGACATTTGACTTCCTCATGTTGGTTGAAACCGGTATAAAATTCTATAACCATCTGATTCTTCATATGAAGCCAGATACTAGCCCTATATCACTTATGATGTCCAGTTTTGACTTTTGGCAACAATCATAGAAAAAATCATGACACAAATACTCGGGGCCTGATCTGTCTTTCTGCCCACTTTTTGCTTAGGTTCTTTAATATTACCAATTATATTACCAAACTTCTCTTTGTTATTACTATTGTTATTTGTAGAGCACATCTACTTATCTCTGTCCTAAACTCTGCCTCAAATTAAAATAACAATACCTGTGCCATTACTACCATCACCCGATGCCCACCAAAGCAATTCTAAGAAGATACTGCAGTTCTTCTCATACAATGTGCCTTCTCTATATCTTTTGCTGTTAGTGGATCTTCATGTTAAGGTTATATCTGTTAACATAAAAATTTTTTGAGAGATCAAAGACCGTATATTTGTTCAATTTTTTTGTTTCTTTGTTTTGTTTTATATTAATCTGTACTGCAGTGCCTTCGCCCTGACTGCATATAAGAATTATGGTATCTCAGAGAAGACATGAGTAGGTACACACATTTTTGTTTCTTGAACAATGTTCCCAGCATGTGTTTAGTTAGGCTTCTGAATGTATTGACCATCTCACTTCAACTTTATGACCCCTGGATATCAGTCTTATTACCATTGTTAGCCTACAGATGAGGAAGTGAAAGCTTAGGGATGTGTGCAGGGCAGTATAGCGTGGAAGCAGCCTAAGAGCAGCCTCTGGCCCAGACCACGACATCACAAGATCCAAAGGCAGGAACACCTCATCGAAAGGGACCACACTGTGGTATGAGTCCAGGTATATGAAGGGTAAATATGGGATGGCTGAGCCCAACTTTAAACATCTTGTAGAGTTTGAAGTTTAATTCCACATGGATTTCCCATTGAGAGTGACAGATAATTCTGCATCCTGTGACAGTATTGTTGACAGAGGTAAATGCTGACTGATGGCTTCAAATCTGTCAATATCCACATGCTGGTTGTCAGGTGAACAAATGTTATTCCTGTTGGATATACACTTATCACCTGACAGAGATTGTGCAACATACTCTATTCATAATTCACTGGCGTTAAAGTAGAAATAAAATGCGTTTCTGGGTATCATGTGAAGTATACTCAGAATTAATAAATTCCCTCATTTTCTTGATCTGTGGGTCTTTATTTGCTCTTTATGTTTGTTAAAATTTAGGCTTTTCTGAAAAATGATTGCTAGACAAAGTTTTTAGACGAGTTATATTTTTTGAATACTTTAACATGGTAATTGTTACAATAATTCTGCGAAGAAAAATTATGCTTTATATATTCATTTATTCATGCATTTGGCAATACTTTATTAAACATTTACCAAGTACCAAACTAATTGTACCATTTAATAGCTTTGAGGTGTTCATCAGTAAATTGTTAATGTAATCAAGAACATGAGAAATTCCTTGTATGAATTTATAAAAGCATTTCAAAATGTATTATAATTTAGATACTTTCTGAATGTATAAATAATATTATGTATGTTCCCATACTGGGAATCATGTCAGTGGAGATAGTTACTTTGAAAGAGAAAGGTAAATAAGGTTAAAAACATTTCCATATTGAAACAAATGTTTCTTTCCATATTCATAAATATATTAGTGTTCTCTAAATCATAGTGAAAAAAATTCCACCCTTTTGAGCAACTCTACTCTGTGAGTTATAGCCTGGAGAAATAAAGTCTGTTGCAAAGGATATGTGCATTGAATGAGAATTTAGAAACTAGACTAAGTGACTCTTCAAGTCTCTTACTATTCTCTGATTCTGTAATTACAGATTCTAATGAATTATCAAGGAAAGAAAAAGGCTGAATGTTTTCATAGTGCGTAAATAGAACCTGATATATAATAGATACGTAATTAATGTGTTGAATGAGTAATAAATAATTGGATAAGATTTAAATCAACTTCCAAAATCCTTAAGTTCTAAGAAGATAAGCATAAAGAACTAGTTAATTTGTGGGTAGCTCGTTATTTTTAAGTACTCTTGACTTTATCATTAATTATATTGGCAGTCCTAAAAAGACAAACATGACATTTCTAAAAGTCATTTGCACAGTGAAAAGTCTATTGTGCCTACTACAATGACTTTTGTGCAAATGAATGTTGAAGAAGGTTCCTTGTAAAAAACTTAAAAATACAAAAAGAAAAGAAAAATGATATGTAGAAATAATCATTATTACATTTGGATGTATTTATTTCTACTCTTTAATTCCTATATACATATATACATCTCCATCTGCTTTTTATTTTGAAAACATTAAGCCTATAGAACTTGAAGGAGTAGTATAATGTACTGATTTTAAACTATTGCCTGTCCTCTTTCTTCTCTATGTATGTGAATAAGAATCTTTGAATCTTTGCCAGCAAGTGATATTATTGCTAAGCATATGGTATGACTTTCCTAAGAATAAGTTAATCACAATAGCAAATTAGTTAATCACAACACTAAAATCAGTTACGAAAATTAATTCAGTTGAATTTTCCCTCACATTTTAGATAAATTTATCAACCCAAAATTGTATCTTATAACTTCTTTCCATTTACATTATAGCATGTCATCCTAAAAATGAGCCTCAAAAAGAGCATTTTTATTTGTTTTAGTTTGATTTTTGTTATTATTTTTTCACTGGGTAGATTGGAGTGGAAATTATAAGGCATTGAATTTTCATTCAGGTTAAAGTAACTTGGTGTGAAGTCCAGGTGGCTTCCCCTTTATCATCCTTCTTTTTTAAAATCACTACAGTGACAGTCATTAATATTAGGATCATGAAAAATGAAACAGATTTTTTCTCTTAGGCTTCATTTCTTTAATTATAACTCCCTACTCAATAATTTATTCTTGAATGTTTATCCGTTTTATCCTTCAAAGTAATTGTATTGAAGGTTGGATATCTTATAATAGGATCATAAGATTTTATAATAAAGATTGAGGGAGATTAGTATCCTGCAGGATTGACCTTAGGGTTTGTGTCCTGGGATGAGGCTATAAGCGGATCTCATCGGATGTCTCCTAGAGGGCTCAGAAGTCCTCTGAGAACCCGAGGCCCTGACTCTCTTTGGTGTGTAGCCATGGATCGGCTTCCTGGCAGGTATGGCTCCTGGTGTTGGGCATACTGATTGCTATATCTGCTTACTTTCAGGGTTCCGTGCTCCTGAAGTTGCCAGAGGAAATGTCATTTATAACCAACAAGCTGACGTTTATTCATTTGGTTTACTACTCTATGACATTTTGACAACCGGAGGTAGAATACTAGAGGGTTTGAAGTTTCCAAATGAGTTTGATGAATTAGCAATACAAGGAAAATTGCCTGGTAAGTTCTATTTTGTGTATAAATACCTTTTCCTTAATGCCAACAGTTTCATTTCCGAGTAATTGTATATTAGGTTCATTTCATCACTGATAATTTTTGTTTAGTGTACAGATATTCTTAAATACTGTGATATATTAATCACATAAATAAATCACATGAAAAACAAGGCAGTTTTTAGCTTTGAAAAAAAATCTCAAGTTAATATTTGTGAATTTGGGGGCCAGGAATGTAGCTCAGCAGCAAAAGCACCTGCCTGGCAAGCACGAGGTCCTGAGTTTGACCCCAGTACCAAAAACAAACAAACAAAAAACCAAAAACACAAACCAAGGGGCCATGAAATAATAATGCAAAGAAAAACAATATAAAATTGCTACGCATCAATATTTGTGAATTTGGTATTATATTTATGAGAACACACAGGAAAGAAAAAGTGCTATTAGAACCCCAGATTTGTTAACTTTTCGTTCTCATGAAGAGTTACCATGTTCCCACTAGGCAGGAACATTTTCATTTTTTTGGAGCAAAATAATTTATATACAAGGATGAAAGCCTGAATGACTTATAATAATAATTCCTAATAATAAATATTAATAGCAGATAAATGATTACTTAATGAGATCAAACCTTTAAATGGCTGCCTTCTGCTTTCAGGAAATTCTAGGAATTTGTCATTTATTCCTTGATCATTAGTTTAGTTTCCACTACAAAGTGTCCGTTTTATTTATTTAGATTTCTTGCATTTCTCCTTTCCCTTTCACTTAAGAAATACTTTTGAGGACACACAATGGACTAAGTACAGAGAATGCAGCATTAACTACTCCTGTTGGGGAACATCGAATGATCCTGGCAAAAGGAAATAAATTATTCTTTGAATAAGTTGTAGAAACCATCAAGGTCATCTTCGTTATTTTGTTAGTCAGCTTCTTAGTAGAAACATGTAGGTCTGTATTCTGCACTGGGATATAACTCAGCAGCACAGTGCCTGCCTGGCAAGGACAAGGTTGTGAGTTCATTCCCCCATACCAAACAAACGAACAAACAACAAAAACCCAATAGAAGTATTCTGCACTGACCTGAAGAATGCCATTCCTCTTAGAAATAACCCATGTGCACAAACCTTTTCTGGGTAGATTTGAAGAGAAAGTGCATGCTTCTTATTGGCATTAAAATAAAAAAGAATTTCAATAGAAGTCTAATTATTATATGAGCAGGAATGTTTTCAGTGTCCCTTTTAAATGCAACTATGGAATGGAAATCTCTTATATTTTTATTCAGTTGGTGTCTGTGTCTCTTTTTTATACCATAGAAAAATTAAGACCTTTATTGCACTTTCTACTAGAGATCAGGGTAACAAAATTAGTTTTAATTTTGTCATAGGTAAATTTACAATAAATACAGGAATATGTAGATCAGTGTTTTCCTTTGTAACTTCTGGACTTCTCATATACACTGAGAGGAAATAAATAACTTTGTTCCTGTACTAGTATGATATTTTTCAATCTTCTAGATCCAGTGAAAGAATATGGTTGTGCCCCATGGCCTATGGTTGAGAAGTTAATTAGAAAGTGTTTGAAAGAAAATCCTCAGGAAAGGCCTACTTCTGCCCAGGTATTCTTAAATTCAAAATTTGTTAATATTCTATGCAAATATGCTATACATATGTATATCTGTATAAGATTCTCTAATATATTTAGTGAAATGCATGAATAAATACACACACAGTTAAAAATAGTTATAAGGCAAAAGCAGGATAATTTCCTCAATCCTGGAACACACAAAAAAATATTGACAATACTTTGGAAACATCCATATGTCTTTTTCTCATTGCTGTTCTGTATGTATTTTCTCCTCTGTGGAATGCTTATTTATTATTTTGCCCATTTTATGAACAGTTTATTTGCCTAAAATCACACAAGCAAAGTCTTTACTTATACTAATCCTTTGGTTTTTGTGTATGTTGGTTTTTGCGTATGTTGAATATTTTTCTAAGTTTGTGTGATATGTCTTTTTTATTTCTACTGGGGCATTTGTAAAAAACAGAATTTAAAAATTTTAATATTATAAACTAAGCAATTCATTCTTTTTATATTATTATTTTTCAAGTTCCATTTTAAAGAATACTCTTCCCTCAGGCCACAAAGATATTTACCTATAATTCAATAATTATGAAGTTTTAGTTGGGGATGGTGGCACATGCCGGTTATCCCAGAACTCTGAGAAACTGAGGCAGGAAGATTGCAAGTTTGAACACAGCCTGGGCAACTTTTTTACCTAGTAAGACCTTATCTTAAAAGAAAAAATGGATGAGCATGTAGCTCACTATGAAAGAAAGAAATGAAAAGAAAAAGAAAAGAAAGGAAAAAGAGAAAGAAACTTAGTTTCATTTTTGACATTTAAATTCTTAATTTATCCAGAATTGATATTTTAATTTGGGTCCAATTTCCACCTGGCAAACTGTGGAGGACCTCCAGGACGGCTGTCCTTGAAAGAAGATAATTTAGCTTCATTTTGGCTAAACCTGGCCCTGTTTCTGTGTATTGATCTGTACAGAACTGGTTGGGATATTTCTTTATCCCCTCAATTGGCTTTAAGCAATGCATATAGGCTCAGCTGAGGTGCTGATACATAGTCTTTAAAGCAATTGGATGGGTCAGTGATTCCCTGCATATAGCTTCCAACTAGTATGTGTGAGCTAGGCCAAATGATTTCTGAGGCTTGAGAAACAATTTATGACGTCTGGGCATGAAGATTACACATCAAAACTGAAGCATGGACCCTAAAACATATGATACTCCCTCAAAGTGTGTTATGCAGATTATTCTTGCTGCATCTCTCTAGCTCTGTCTGCACATTGCAGAGGTGCTGTCTCATCTCCTGTGTAGCCCAGCTCATACCATTCGTGCACTTTCTGCCGTCCTCACAGCCACTCATTCCTAAAGCCACTCCGCTCTTCATGAATGAATAAAACCCAGGTTTGGCCATGGGTCAAAGCCTTTGTTCCAGTTAGCCATCATTGTAACTGGGCTTGGACCACCTTGGCTCCCCACAACTACAAATATGCCTTAGTGTCTTTATTCTTCCATGGAATATTGCACTAGAATGGTAGACTGGAATTAATTTACTCAAATTCCAATAACTTCTCCCTGGGATTACAAGTGTAAACTCCACTGGAGTGTGATGAGGTCTGGAAAGGGTTTCCTATAGCAAACCAATTTTTCTAGCTTTCTTTATTAAAATTTCTTTCTTTTTAAAATCTCTATTGATATGCCATGTCTACTTTGTAATTGCTTTAAGATACACTAATAATTTCATACATACATTCTCTTTGTTGATTAACTTACTGTTCCTCCTACTTTAGCTTTATAAGAATCTTCTCTCCAATTACTTTTCTTGCCCAGGAAGGTTTTAACTATTACTAGCTGTAGTTCTGTGTAAAACTTAAAATTTCTGTGTTCAAGTCTTATAAATCGTATTGTGCTTTGGATTAGATTTTTGTTAAGTCTGTAAACAATTTGGGGAGATAAAATCTTTATAGTACTGAGTTTCCTATTCTAGTGTGTTATCTCTCCATTTGCGTAGGTCTTCTCAGTGTCTTTCAATAAAAGTTGGAAGCCTACATGTACATTTTCTGTATCATTTGTTGAATTTCTCCTATAAATGTTGTTGAACTCAATTCCTGACTTGAATTTTGTTTTTGATGTTGTTTGTTTTAACCACCCAGCTGATGGGAATATGATCTACAAATATTTTTGAGAGCAAGTTTAGAAATAGTAGTTTCTCAAGGTCCCTTTGCACTCCCCTACCTCCCTGCATAGCCCCACAGGTGCTTTCCTCACAGGTCAGTGAGGGTGGGAGAGCAGTGTCGATAGTTAGTGGTTTTGCTCATATGAGTAAAGCAGATCCAGCTTTACTAAGACTCTCTACCTTGCATACCTCCTAAACCATAACTTTTCTCCCATGGACCCCTCAAGCAAAATCCAAAACTACTACATTTTGGCACAATAGACAAATGTCTTAGATACAAATCTAGCTTTTGGTTTGAACTAAAACCCTCTGGTTTGTCTCTCACTATAATTAGTCCGGTAAATTTTTATGGCGTCACATTTTTAATGTTTTATATATATTAAATAATTTATTAGTAGTTTACATTATTTTAGCTGACATTTGCTAAGCCATACTTTTGCCATACTATTGGAAACAGAATTTTCACAATGTTTTAAACAGACACAAATTTTTAGAGACCAAAAAATTGTTTTTTAATGATCTCTTCATTTTGTGGCATAATTCATTGAAAAAATTTTGTTCAATTTAAATTTCTTAATCAAAAAGAGCTCAGTACAACTACAGTGATTTTACCACGTGGTAGGTAGTTATTTTGGCTACTTGGCTTACTTGATTTTTAGTCTAGGTTACCATCACTGTTAGTGATATTATATTTATTTTTTCTTTATCACAGTAAAACATTCCATAACAAATGTTTTATCTTCCCCTTCTTTCATTTTTATTATAGTTTATCTGTATTTTAAAGAACATTGTCCATAACAACCTTGAGGCTTTAAGTATATAGGAATATCAAAAGGCTTAGACATACCTATTTTCTCTTTCAATGCAGTTATACAGTGGGTAAGCTGGGTAACACATCCTCTTAATTAGGTGAGGCAGCATGAATATAAGGAGCTTCTTCATGGCCTCACAAGTGACGGGCTGGAAGCTGTCACGGATGTCATTGAGTGTCCTGATCCTTACTTCTGTTTCCTTACAGTGGTTCATGTTGTCTCCTGTGCTTGAAGGCAAATCACAGAAACAGAATCTCCAAATAATATCTAAATGTTTTAACCAAAGATTCAAATTTCCATTTCCTTCAATTGGTAGAAGTTCTACCCTTGGTGGCACAAGTGTTTTTCTCTCACTCAGGGTGGCTCTGCAGTACAGAACTGAGTGAAGAATAAGTCCTGTCTGCTAAAATTCTGTTCAGTTGACACTAAAGATTTTACTCTCAAAAAACACACATAGGAAAGAATACATAGAGTGCACAATTAAAAATATGTACTTGTTTTTAAATGTGACTTTGTCTATAGTTTGTATCGTTGATCTTGATAATCTGAATGGGTTACCATTTATTGAATAAAGTTAGGTTTTACTTGCTGTAGCGAAAGCATTTAATTATATATTTGACCTTTCAAGAGGAAATATAAAACTTGACAAGTGTTTTTATTTTTAAACTTTCTCAGGTCTTTGACTTCTTGAACTCAGCTGAGTTAATTTGTCTTACGAGACATATTTTGATACCTGAAAACATTATTGCTGAATGCATGGTTTCTATGAATTCTAATAGCAAGAATGCAAATATTTGGCTTGGCTGTGGGCACAATGACAAAGGGCAGCTCTCCTGCCTTGACCTAAACACCGAAGGACACACTTTGGAGGTAAATACGAGTACACTTGCAACTAAAACTCTTGTAGAATGTTCACTTCGCCATAAACTAAAATTTATACCAGTTAAAAATTATTTGAGAAGAAATTAAGTATGAGTCAATGTAGAAGTATTATTACCAGGTATGAATGAAATATACAGTGGATGTTTAAGTTTAAGAGATTATTACAGTACAAGATACATTGCCATTAATCCTGTTCAGAATATTCAGCCTCACTTCCAACTCACTGATACCATTGTTCTCACCACTTTCTGAAACAGTTCTGGAAGTTCTATTTCGTGAGTATCTTTACCAGGTGTGAAAAAGAAAAGGGTGCTGGGGATTTAGCTCAGCGGCATAAGCGCCTGCCTTGTAAGCAGGCAGTCGTGAGTTCAATCCCTGGTACCAATAAAAAGGAAAAAAGACAAAAAAAAAAAAAAAAAAAAAAAAAAAAAAGAAAAAGGTGGATGCTGCTCCTATATGACAGCCAGCGGAAACGAACGCAGGCCTGTTGAAACATTATAGTGTGCTCCCATTTGTTGTTGAAACTGACTAGGATGGCATTGTTTTTAAAAGTAAATGTGCTAGAGTAAAAGGAGTTAAGTATGTTGGTAACAGAATATTTTCATTCTGTCGGAAGTTCTGGGAACACCAGCCAAGTCTGCTGGAGTGTACTTTCTTCTTTTTAACAGGAGGTGACTGACAGTAGAATACTGTGCTTAGCCTTGGTGCACCTTCCTGCCGAGAAGGAGAGCTGGATTGTGTCTGGGACACAGTCTGGTGCTCTCCTGGTTATCAACACTGATGACAGGACAAAGAGACACACTCTGCAGAAGATGACAGATTCTATTACTTGCTTGTATTGCAATTCTTTCCCCAAGCAAAGGTAAGTTTGTGTATTTAGTTGAGGGAAATTATGTACTTTGTAGGTGACTTGTGTGCAAAATTGTTACTGTGTCCAAAAAGGTGGCTCAGTCTGCTTTCACTGGTTTGCACACATTAAGGGGAATCAGGAGAGGCTGCAATTAAATTTGCTATTTTTCTGTATACAGATTTAAACAGAGGCAGTCATAAAATAAATCAGTCATTTTTTCAGGCTTTTGGCTCAACTGTGGCTCTATTTATGCTTCTCCTCTTGTCCATGTGGATTGATAGAACCTCTTCAAAGTTGAATTTTCATCCATTCTTTGAGTACATGTAGACATCATCAGCCTATTATGTTCTGGCCTTACACCTATCAGTTATTTAACCATCAAATTGTAGAAGGATATAATAAATTAATAGGTTGTTAATAGGTAAAAATGACTTAGTCCTTATCGTGTATCTAAGTGGCAGAATTTCAAGTGTGAATCATAAGTTGGTTGCTGTGATATTAGTGGCAGGATTATTTTAGGAGTCATTTAGGTGATACCCTATATTCTCTGGTTGAAGTGAGTAGTAGAAGAAAACTACCAGAAAAACATGAAGCCCAGCATTTTGCTACCTGAGATATAAATTTCACTGTTAACTTTGCAGTCAAAATTATGTGCATATTGTTAAAGAAAAGTATCATTGGATAGAGTTAAACAAGGAAGATTGTTCAAGGTGTGCCAGTTGGGGGGAAAAACTAGACCCGACTCCTGTAAAACAAAAGCAGAAAAGTTTTAAGCACAGAGATGAGCTACAGCTGTGGAAAAGTTTTGTCGGGTAATATGGGTAGTGGTGAGTGCTAATGTGATTAGGCCACCTGTCAGAGCTAATTGTCCCTTGTTGCTTGTGGCCCTCTACTCTCCCACAGAGAGGGAAATGTTAGGGGCAGAGCTCTCTTGAGGAATACTTTTCAAAGAAGTGACTCATAGGTCTTTGGGGGAGGACTTTCCTGTGTTGTAAAACTGGCAAGAGACTGGGAAAAGATTTACATCTCAAAGGAACAGCAAAAGAATTTTTAACTGAGGGGTTGGGGATTTATCTTAGTGGCATAAGTGCTTGCCTTGGAAACACAAGGTTGTAAGTTTGATCCCTGGTTCTGAAGGGGGAAAAAAAAGCTAAGAATTTCTAACTGCAAGTTTTCTAATGTAAATGCTCTTATAAAAGGAAGGTCAGGTGTCTGTAGTCTGAAGGAACTTTTCTAAGTTTAATTAAGCTGGTGAAAAATTTAAAGTTGTTTTAGCCAATATAAATGTTCTATTTTTTGGTAATAATTTTGACAATTTTCCTTTTAGCAAGCAAAATAATTTTCTTTTGGTCGGAACTGCTGATGGCAACTTAGCGATTTTTGAAGATAAAACTGTTAAGGTAAATATCGACTGCAATGTACATCAAATTTATTTTATTTTATCAATTAATTATTTTTTGAGACAAGGTCTTGCTATGTATTTTAGGCTGGCATTGAACTCACTGTGTAGTCCAGGCTGGCCTCAAACTCAGAGTGATCCTCCAGCCACACTCAGCCTCCCAAGTGCTGGGCTTATAGGCATGCACTACCATGTCCAGGTAGTTTTGCAAATAATAGATTCTCTTAAAACACTTGCCGATTGTATACTTTATATGAGTACAATGAGGATAACATGATAAACGAGATGTGATTTAGTGTTGGGAATGAAAATGATTTAATTTGCATGAGTGTAGCAGTAATTCCTTACAAATATATTGTGGAAAAATAAGGATATTTAAATTGTAAATGTAGCCTTACAATTTAATCTAGCTAGGGTCTTAGCTTAGTAGAGCTATGCTTAGTGTATGCAAGGCTATGCATTCAATTTCAGTGTTACACACAACACACAGACACACATGAGAGAGAGAGAGAGAGAGAGAGAGAGAGAGAGAGAGACAGACAGACAGACAGACAGAGACAGAGAGAGAGGTCTGGCTTGCTGTTAAAATTTTGTTTAGCACTAATTTAACTTTCTGTTCTTTGAATTCTCATTTAGCTATTAAAGCATTTATTACTTCATCTACTTGTTTGTGGTTCATCTTTTCATTCAACTTTCTTACCCATTCATTCATACTTCTTGATATTGAATAAAGAGAGACACAAATGTGTGGCCCCTTAATTATTTCTTATACAATTTTTGCATGAAGTCAAGAAATTTGTTATAAAGATAATGTTTCGACTACCAGTTTAATTGAATCCTGTTACAGAAACTTTGGAAAGTGAATCTAAATTTTTACTTTATTATCTCTAATCATTTGCAATGGAAAGTAGTTTTATAAAGCAAAAATTGTATAGTATTTCATTCCACAAATACTCAATTACTAAATGTTTTCTCTGTATGGCAAAGTGTGAAGGAGCCACACCTTTGAAGACGCTGAACATCGGGGATGTCAGCACACCACTGATGTGTCTGAGTGAATCCATGAATTCAAGTGAAAGGAGCATTATGTGGGGCGGATGCGGCACAAAGATTTTCTCATTTTCTAATGACCTCACGATTCAGAAACTCATTGAGACAAGGACAAATCAACTGTAAGTGATTTTCTGTCTGTACAATTAGTTTACCATTTATTTGTGTTTATAGCTATATCAATAATACCATTATTTCATAATGAAGAACATGTAAAATGCATGCTTTATTTTTCTACTACAAAATTGAGCATTAATTATAGAAAATGTAGGGTTTAGATACACTATGATATATTGTGAATCCTTGCGGATAAGGATTTTAAATTTTTGTCTTGTTCATAGATTTTTTTTTTTTACTAATGTGGAAAATAGATGTTCACAGTCTCATTCTATCACTTTCAGTTTTAACTCAACCATGCGAGTCTGAGAACCTTTAAAAAGATGGGTCTCCAGTTGTTTTATTTCATTGAACATTTTATGGGTCCTGAGTATGAATCAACAAAATTCCATAGAAGATTTGGAGTAGAGACACATTCCTAGAAGTTATCTATAAATACTGTGTTCCTCAGATCATGAGTTCATTTTCTCCACCATTCTGGTCACAAATGGACCTGAATAAGGACTGATCAAATTTCCCCACTGAGTCAACATTGACCCTAACGACTGAATTTGATTTGGCTTTCATCTATCTAGGTTTGCAACCAGAATCATGAGAAGATTAGAATCAAGTCCATGAACTGAAATACCACTGTGTTAGGCTTTCAAAGGTGTTCATCTCCCTGAGGAGATCATACAACAGCATAATAAGCACTTGGAAATATTTGCTCTCTTCTAAAATATGTCTGCTGTTGCCTCGGTCTCTTCCGCATTGGCAGATGTGTCACCAATCAGGTGGCTTCATTGTCTTGCCTGTATTTATCACGGTGACCAAGAGGTGTACTGAGGAGTCAAAGCTGACTGGTGTTGGGGCCAGAAGATGCTATAAGTCATATTTTGAGTTCCAGGTCTGCAATATGGTCATGTGACTTTAAGCAAATTATTTAGCATTTGTAAACCTTTCTTTCTATAATTATAAACATTGAGGTTTACCATATTCTCTAAATTTATTAAGAATCAAGGTAACACATAAATATTTTATAAATTCTAAACCCTATGTCAAACTTTTGCTAATTGCAACTGTCTTGTATTAAATACAGCAAACAGTCAGAAACTATTTACTGTAGTGGTTCTCCACAACACATCATATGTTCATCTTCCTTAGCAGAATAGAAAGAAAATGGAGAACAAAAAAAATCTTCCTAGCCTGGAGTATAATTATGATTATTAGGTCCCTTTGAGATTTTATGACTTAATTGCAATTTTCTCTATTTGTACTTTTTTGTGGTTGCTCGTTCATCCTGTTCATTCTTTGTCTAGTCATCCTCTATCCACCCACTTAACCAGCTGCCTGACACATGACAGGTCCTTACCTGTGACGGCTGTTTATGGGACTGTGGGCATATTGAAAAGGCACAGTACTTGTCATTAAGATGTTACAGTTACAGTGTAATGTGAAGGATTGTCTTAGTTACTTTATGCTCGTTGCTGAGACAAAATACCTGATGCCCAAGCTGGGAAAGGAAAGGTTTATTTCTTACAGTTTTTGGAGGTTTCAGTCCACACTCAGTTGGCTCCCAGGCAGGCGGGCGTGGCTGGGCTGCCTTTCATGGCGGCTGCAAACAGCAAAACAGCAAGCCAGAACCAGCAAAGAGAAAGATACACCTTCCTCCTGCCATTACATCACATCCTGGCTCCACCCCTATGTGGGTGGAGCACTGACACCATCAATCCAAGCACTAGGCAATGAACCAATCACAAATACACAATGCAAACTCATGAGGCCTGGGGGACACAGACATAAACCATGACAAGGATATACTGACAAATAAAAGTTACGTTAGTAAGGACTATGAGATTATGGCCACACGAGTGGGGGAAAATATTTGGTCGATTTAGGTAGATCAGGCAAGAATTCTAGAAGAGTGGACATTTAGGTCAAGCCTCAGAGGCTAAGGTGGAACTTGTCATCCAGGTGGGGGCCCCTACTCACCTATCAGTAAAGTGGGTGCAGTGCCACGTGACTTAGATTAGAAGAGAAATATTTTTAAATTGTCATTTTCCTTTATTTTCAAAGGGTGGAGAGGACAGTTTAACTTTCTTTTTGTGTTTTGGTGATGTAGATTATTTTTCCTAGTAATTTGATTGGTTTATTATTATTTCCTAATAATTTGATTGATTTATTATGTCATTTTAACATTTGAAGACACTTCCACTAAAATTGATTTGAGTGTTTTATAACTGTAGATGTAAATTGCTAGCCCTTAGTTTTCCAAATGTTCATCACATGGGTTTTATTGCAATCTTGAGAAGTTACCCATGTTAAGATTAGATATAATATTCCTTTTAGAAGTTAAATACAGTGTGAAATTCTATAAAGACCCAGATAGAACTAAAATTAAAACTAAAAATTTATTTCTTTTATTTTTTTAATTAAGGGAAACTCATACAAAGCAGCCCAAAGTAAGTAAAGTTGCAAAGTAAATTGTATATCTAATTCAGAATGTTGAAAGTAAAAAAAGAAATGAGTGTATATAATATTTTTCTAAATAGTTCATGCCTCAAGAGCTAATGTAAAGCTGCATTGCAGGTCTTTTGTGGTGTTCTGATTTTTTTCTCTCTCCTAGGTTTTCTTACTCAGCTTTCAGCGATTCCAACATCATAGCAGTGGCAGTCGATGCAGCTCTCTATATTGCTAAGAAAAACAGTCCTGTTGTGGAAGTGTGGGACAAGAAGACTGAAAAACTCTGTGAACTAATAGACTGTGTGCATTTATTAAAGTAAATCCACTGTTTGTTTTTCACCTATAACAGCTGTTTCTACAGTTCAGGTTTCACAGAGGGAGAAATGATGACTTGTTTTGCTTCCTTTCTGTCTCTAAATAGAAACTTAGAGAATAATAATGCAGAAACAAAAGTGTTAATGCTTGTCAATATCCTTTTTTAGTATCCAGCATATTTCATTTGGGGAAAATAAAAAAATAAGAAAACAATATAGATGGTTTCTTTGTGGTAGTACAAAGAATATTCATCAGTGAAAAAATAGTCATTGGGGCCAGGCGTATAACTCAGTGGCACGGTGCCTGCCTGGCAAGCATGAGGTTGTGAGTTCAATTCCCAGTACAAATAAATAAATGAAGTCCTTAATAGAAGCAACCATATGGCTTCATTGCTGGCTATGTATCTAGTAGTGTCATAGTTTCAAACATTACTACTTATAATTAAACTGTGAACCCAAGGATACTTGTCAGATAAAATGTCATAACGTAATAGAAAAATATGGATGGACGATCTGATGTGTGCCAAGGAGGGAGGCCCTAGTCCCAGAACGAGAGCTCAGACCGGCTGTGATGCCACGGATGGGGACCGGACTCTGTACGCTGAGTACTGTCAAGAACACTGACTGACAGTTTTGTTTGATAGAGGGTCTCTTAGTTCCTAAAGTTCCAAAATTCCTAGGGTTCTATTAATTCTGGACAACTCATTGTTTAAAATATGAATGTCTTTCACAGGCTCACAGGGAAAATTTCAGTGGTTCCTATTGCTATCTTTTTTTTTTTTTTTTTTTTTTTTGTCTTTTTGAGACAGGGTCTCACTATGCAGTTCAGGCTGGCCTTGGGCTTACTTTGTAGCCCAGGCTGGTCTTGAACTTGCAATGATTCTCTTGCCTCAGCCTCCCAAGTGCTGGGATTACAGGCGTGTGCTACTATGCCTGGCTGTTACTGCTATTTTTTACATGTAAATGACTTCATTTAACTTTGAGCTTGCAAGAAAGGAAGCTTTTGGAGCTTACTTTTTTATAATGGACTCAATTGGAATTGAGGGACTAGCATTGTGTTATCTTTGATAATTTATCCTTTAAGTACAAAATGGGTTTTTAGGCACCCTATATTTAGCAAAATTAGTGTAGTACAATTTAACAATATGTAACATAAACAATCGGTCCTTTATATACTTGGGTTTTGCATTGACATTTTCAATCAACAGGATCAAAAATATTGTTAGCTAGGCATAGTGGCGCAAACCTATAATCCCAGCACTCAGGAGGCAGAAGCAGAAGGATCACTATGAGTTCAAGGCCACCCTAGGCTACATAATGAACTCAAGGTCAGCCTGATTACACATTGAGACCCTGTCTTGAAAAGAAAAAGAAAAAAAGAAAGGAGAGAAGAGGAAAGAAAAGAAAAGTTAAAAAGACAAAAATTTTAGGTACATTTGCTTCTGTACCAAACATATACAGATATTTTGTTGTCATTATTCTCTGGACAGTACAGTGTAACTACTAGTCACAGAGCACCTGCATTGTATTAGGCATTATGAATAATTTAGAGATACTCTAAAGCAGATGGGAGGATGTTCATAACTTCCATGCAAGTACTATATCAGTTTTTATAAGGAACTGAGCACCTGTGCTTTTGGTAACTGCCATGGGGGAACCAATTCCCCTGGAGAGCAGAGATTAACTATATTGTCCCATTTCCATAGTTGAAATTTTAACACGTGTGTGTGTGTGTGTGTGTAATATTACATGTATATGTATACATCTATCTATATATGTGTGTGTGTGTATATTTATGGACAAACCTGTTTTGTCTCTGAGTTATTGACAAAAATTATTAATGCATACTTTCTTTGTGCTTTTAGGGAAGTAATGGTGAAGATGAACCAGGAATCAAAATACAAAATGTCCTATTCTGGGAGAGTGAAAACTCTGTGCCTTCAGAAGAATACTGCCCTCTGGATAGGGACTGGAGGCGGCCATGTTTTACTCCTTGATCTTTCCACTCGTAGGATCATACGCATAATTTACAACTTTTGTGATTCTGTTAGAGTCATGATGACGGCACAATTAGGCAAGTTTGTTTCTGTTGGTTCCTTTTTATATATGTATCATCTAAGACCATATAAATAGCTTTTAAAAAGCATTAAGTTTTCATTTGCACTGTCATATGCTGTGTGTTGAAATGTCACATGATAAAGCAGAGGACTAGGATAAATTCTCAATAAGCTTTCAGTTGCCTCAACTCAAAAACTAGAGGGAATAGATGCCTTAGTTCCTGAGGGTGAAGCAGATGTTTCTAGCTGAGCATTCAATTTGAGTGTTGGTTTCTTTTTTCCTTTATTATATGTAAGGCAAAAATGGAAGATACATAGTGTTGATATGTTTCACTTTTTCATCAAAGAAATTAAAACCAATATTTATTTTGGAAATAGTTTAAGTTTCCCACCTTTGTTAAAGAATCCTGTTTGAGTTTTCATTCTAGAAACAAATTTATGTTCTTGTAGCAATACGTGCTGAACTCAGCAGTCTACAAATATTGACAAATCATGTTTTGCTCAAATATTATGTAACTTTTCTGTTTGAAAGTACAGGAAGTCATGGTAACATATGAAATATATTTTCTATAGAAGTATATTTCAATGTCTTTCTTTGATTAATAATTTGATATAGAAAAATATATGACATACATATGTATATACAGAATTGACCACCAAAATGACATTTTAGTTCTGCCCAAGTGGAGTTTATGTACAGGCTGTTTGGCCATGTTGAAGAACTTATTTTGCAAGGGCATGTTGAATAGGGACAGCTGTTTCTTCTGTATCCCCATGCACTTGTCATCTGAGGATGTCAGAGTGGCACAGAAGGAGTTAATCAGGTGCTCTTAGTGACTGTCCTGTTAGGATGTGGCCACACAGGTTCCGGAGTAAGTCTCAGTATATTGTCTCCCTAGTCATACTCTACTACCTTTATTTTTGCATGTTTTTGTTCAACCTGGTATTCGAGGACCAACTCTGGGCCTAGCAGATGAAAACATCTGGATGAATATTCGTCAGATAAATTAGTGGATAACTGAAGTGGCATTTGATATCATGAATGTCAATATATCCACCCATTTAACTCTTTGTCCAGATTCTTCATATCTGTGCTTTGTAGGGTCAAAGCACTTTCATACACAATATTTCATTTAGTATTATAATTGGGGAAAGTAATAGATAAACACTGAATCTATTTTAGAGAAATACTGTTTTCTCAGAGTCACGTATTTGACTGGAAGAAATAGATACATTTTTCTTTAAGAAAAAAAACCCTAGTAGTCTTGTAGTAGAGTTTATTTAATACAATTGAAGTGTCTTCTAAAAATATATCATTGTAATTCCAAAGTGTCTACGTCTTAAAATGTGAACAACTGTACTTTTTTCTCAATCTGGCTCAATAGACTATTTTAACAGGAAACTGCTGTATTTTGTTTTGGTAAAGGAAGCCTTAAAAATGTCATGCTGGTTTTGGGGTATAACCGGAAAAATACTGAAGATATACAGCACCAGAAAGGTACTACTTAACAGTTTGCTGTATTCCAAAGAGTGCAGTGATGTGAATGATGATTATGTATTACCTTATATATTTATAGTAAATTATATATATATATATATATATATATATATATATATATAAAATACTTTTAGCATTTTAGTTGGTAGTTTCTTTATAGCATAAAAATTTAGTCATAAATTCTTAAAATTGTTTCCTTAACTTAAAATGGTGTTTTAAAAGATGAGATACAATTCATAGTCTCGATAAAATAAGAACTAGCTGAAACCTAAAGCATGAATATTTTTCTGTACAATTTACCTGTAACCAGAGATCTGATGTTGAACAGTGTTTGAGAAAGCTCTACTTTCAGAAAATAAAGTGAAACATAATAAAATATGCATACTTTTCTTGAACTTTAGTACTTTCTGTATGACCAATATTTTCCAAATAGTTTTTATAAATACAATTACATAGTTCATTATTTGTAGCTATATTCATATATATATGCATCTATCTAAATGAAACACATGTAAATTAACAAAGTTGAAATAAAAATGCTTTATGGTGGATCATTAAAAATGATCTTTTCTTCTTCTTCTAGAGATACAATCTTGTTTGTCAGTTTGGGACCTCAATTTTCCACATGAAGTGCAAAATTTAGAAAAACACATTGAAGTGCGACAAGAATTAGCTGAAAAAATGAGAAGAACATCTGTTGAATAAGAGGGATGTCAGAAACCTTTGTCTTTGGATGGGAAAATTGTTCCTTGTAAATATTTCTTTCAAAATATTTATATTGATTTTACTTTAAAGAGAAAAATCACAAACAAACAAACAAAAAAAAACAAACCAAAGCCAAACCAAAAAAAAAGTTTACATTGAAAGCAAAACTTCCACTCTTTGAAGTAGCTTTTATATATATGAAGGAATGTTTATGTGTTTATTTTTAAGTTAAGTATATGTAAAATAGTTGACTTAAAATGGTGTTTTAGTGAATATGTGTTCCAAGAAACTATTTAAAGTAAAAATGTTATATTACCTATATATCCTAATTAATTTGGTGTATTAATTAAATCTATAAAGTACTTAATTGCAATACTCACAGTAAAGTAACAAAACAATCATTTTTGCTTTTCTGTTCATACTGAAGATAAAATTTATTTTAAATTCTATGCTTCAGGACTGTTGCCTATTTATTTTCTGGAAATTCTTCAGGGAAGAATAAAAATATTTGGAGCCAGATGTGGTAGCACAAACCTATGATCCCAGTACTCAGTAGATTGAGGCAGAAGGATCACTGTGAGTTTGAGGCCAGCCTGGGCTACATAGTGAGTTTAAGGCAACCTAAACTACATATTTAATGAGACCCTGTCTTAAAAAATGTATATATATATATATATACATAAGTATATAATATATATAATGTAATATATTCTTTCTTAGGTTAATCACATATACTTTTAACCTCTCAAGTGAATTTTTCTAATAAAGCCCAGAGTTGGGACATAAATTCTCTTTTTTGCTAATGCAGTGTACTTCACACAACTGCATCTACAAGAAACACATTAAAACTACTGATGTGTAAACATGACAGTTATAGTCTTCATTTCAGAGAAATATACACTCATACTCTTTTCCTATTTTTTAATCATGTCTTTGAATGTGGATATCCTAATATTTGTAAATCAAGTGTAGATATATTGTCAAGTCCCTGAAGTGATATTTTTCTGGTTTTGTTTTGATTGATACACCAGACCACTTACTGCTTGTGTCCAAATTTGATTTGTTCTAATTCTGGTACTTCTATTTTCCCTAAATTATATTCTGCATCTATTTTTAGAATTATAGCAATCCCTAACTCCTATTGTGTCAAGGTTCACTAGAGGAACAGATTTAATATAAAAAATCATAGATATGATTTACAAGGTAGGTATACAGTGGCTGCCAGCAGAGTCAGATGTGAAAGAAAGTCAAAGAACTGTCTGCATCCTGGAGAACGAGAGGATCCAGTGAAAAAGTCATAGGCCTAGAGCTCACTGCAGAAATTCCACAGAATTTAAATTAGGAGGCCACAGAGTCTGTGCTGGAGACCTGGAAGGAAGGAGTAGAAGCAAGACTTCCTTCTTTCCCTTTTTATTCCATCCAGACTATAAACTTACTGGTTGGTGTCACTTGTACCCAGCATGGGGCCAGACATGCCAAGAACTGTGCTAAACCAACCTGCTAGGTATTTCTTCCTCAAATTGACATCACAACTAACACCCAAGACTGTGGGAACACATGCAAAACTCATTCTTCAGTTCACTAGAGAAAATGAAACTTTAGCTATGATGAGCAAAACCTGCTGTTAACCTGATCTAAATTAGATCTAAATTATTTAAATGTCTTTCCTCAGTAGAATTGCTGCCACATACATATGTAATGCTTTGAGTATCATCTCTGTCTTTGAAGAACACATTTGGAAATTCATTGGTACTGGCCAAAATATATAATCTCAAACAATTCCCTATGATAGAATAACAAGCCTACTTAATTTTCTCAGCATTGACTGTCTTTAATTATATAAAGACTTTCAATTTCCATCTAGTAAAGGTAATCAAATTAACCTTGATATATTTTCCATTTTCAAAGGGACCCATTCTTTAATTTGTTATGTAATTACTAACAAATATCTATGCATGAATTGGGGGTCTTTTTTCCTGGATTCTCTCATTGTTACTTTTTATGTATGTACAATTTTTAAACCAAAGAATTATAGAAAAATTTGTAAATGAACATTGTATTTAAATAGAATAATAAATATTTTAAAGCATGTGTATTTTTAAAACCTTGTGAGAGTATTTACTTTCCATATATGTCTACTGTCCATCTCATATGAATTGTAATAATCTATGTATAGGATATTTGATTTTAGGAAGGTGCAAGGTGGGGTTTTTTCCCTTGAGGGGTAAAGGTTTATGTAAGTTCTATATTCTGTACTGAAACAAAATGAGTACTTGAAAAAAAATAAGACCAGAATAACTGATGTAGACAAAAAAAAAATACCAAATCATTTTGTGTTTCCTGATTAGAGCCCTAAAATACTACTAACCTTTATTGAAACATAAGCATTTTATCTTAACAGAAAATAATTTTTTCTTATGGAAGTTCTAATTCATAAAAGGAGTCTTTCCAAATCCAATTCTGGTCAGCACTGTGTTACTTTTAAACTCAACTGCAACTTATTTTATTTAATCAGGACAGTGAAATATATTGATGAAACAAATAAAATAAATAATGAAGTTTTCTAAACTGGAAATGAGCTTACAAATGTGCAGATACTGAGGATAAAGTGCCAAGCTTTAGGCAGTTAGCTTCTTTATGTGGCCTATTACCTCGGGTAGCTTTAGGACCTGACCTGTAAGAATGCTATCACTGAGTACAGGAAGGGCTCAGAAGGGTTACAGTGAAATCAGAAACCCTGCCTGCTCTGAAAAACTGAAATCCTCATGTTTCATTCAGACTAGTCTCCACCCACAGTACCATTGTTTCCAGTAACAACCCAGAATTTGGCTGTCTAAAAGTAAATAGGTACTGTCGTGCACTTGGGTCTTACTAATTTGTTGAGGCTTGTGGTGTATTTAGCACCTGGAGTTTCAAGTGTCAAGTTCTTGTAAACTAAGAAATGTAAAAGGAATTTTATGTATACAGTAAGGTATTTTCCCCATTTTGTCATAAAATGAACACCAAATAAAGTATCTTCTATCATATCAAAAAGTACATATAGTGGACATGGTACTCTAATTATCTTTAGAGCTACTTTAAAAAGCAGACTTTAGAAAGAAAAGATTACATGTTGCAAAGACTTGGGTCTAAATCCCCACTACAACATTTAGTAGCTCAGTGAACTGGAGAAAGTTGTCAAAAATAGCCAGAGATCCCTCTTCTCTCATCTAAAAAATGACAAAAATATGTAATACACTGCTGTTACAAACTGAATCTAGGATGTAGTCCTCCTAAGTCTCATGTGTTCCGAGGTGGGGATTTGGAAGGTGGTTTGGTCATGGTGGCTGTCCTCCCTGGTGGATTAAATCTCTTCATGTGTTCATAGCTGAATATGTACTTCGAAAGTGGGTCCTGACTGGAGGAGGTGGGTCACTGGGGGTATGCCTGATTAGGTACCTCTTTCTCTCTCCCTCTCTTTCTTTCCCTGTTCCCTTTCTCCTTCCCCCTGCTCTTGTTCCACTGTACTTGCTGGCTGCTGTAGATTGAGCAGCTTTTGGCTACCATTCCCTTCCACCATCGGTTTGTACCTTGACGCTGTCTGACAATGGACTGAATTCTAATCCAAAATAAACCTCTTCATTTTAAGTTGTGACTATCAAGTATTTTGTCCCAATGACAGGCAAATGACTAAGGAGCCTGCTTTCTAGGTTTTAGGAACACAGGGTGAAATTGAAGCCAGTCAATCAATGAGACCAGGTCTATGCCAGACTCCCTATTTAACCCCACCTAAAGCTCATTTTCCACAATAATCAGATGAAGTTTTTTTGTTTACTACTGTGGATTTGGTGATCCACAGACGACCCCACCGCAGCTACCCCTCTAGCTGTTCATCATGTAGTATCAGGAACTGCCTGTAGATAAATTAGTGACAAGAATAGCCCAAGGAAATAGTGAAGGTCTGTAATGGCAGGGATATTTCCTCATGTCAGAGGAAATGGTCATTGCAGGAAAGTTGCCTGCTTTGCTTTATCTGCATCATAGAAATCAACACATTAAGTGCAATTTTATCAGATTTAACTACAGGCATGCTTAATTTGCTAGAATGCAGGTCAAGGCAATTGATTACATTCATAATTTTCTTCTACTCTACTGAACTGCCTACAGCTGCTTATTTCCTGAAAGTATATGCTGGGTTCTCAGCAGAGGGTAATACACAGCAGAGGAAGAGAGATTGCTGTGATTGTAGTTGTTAGAAGGTTAGTGCAGCACTGAGGGTTAAGATCACTAGATGGGCATAATGATAAATACGTGTAATCCAAGCTACTTGGGAAGCTGAAGAATGAAGTTTAAGGAGAACTTATGAGGGAGAATGTAGAACAAGGGCAAGTAGAATTGGGGGTGAGGGTAGAGCAAAGAATTGAGAAGCCAGCAGAACAAGGATGACTGTCAAAATACCAGAAAACCAATAGATAAAGGTTACCCTAGAGAGCTCTTCCTGGTCCTTGACATGGTCCAGGAAATTTACATTTGTAATTCCATGAAAAGTTATTGGAATTCAAGGAATTAATTCTAATCTAACACTTACAGTGGAATCTATGGCAAGAATAAAACATTGAGGCGTATTTGTAGTTGTGGGGAGCCACGGGGACCCTAAATCCAGCTAGGGGGATAGTTAACCAGAATAAAAGCCTTGACCCAGGGCCAAACCCAGTTTTAATAATTCATGAAGAGGGGAGAGGCTTGAGGACCAATTCCTGGGAAAGTGGGAGGAAATGTGAGTACTGTGAGCTGGTCTAGGGAGGAGGCCTGAAATCACCTCTACAATACGCAGAAAGATATGCAGGAAGAGTCGTCTGCATAACACAATTGGAGGCAGAATGTAATGTTTTGGGGTTAATGCACATCAGCACCTCTGTTAGACCTTTTTGCATTGCTTAAAGCCAATTGAGGGGATAAGATCAAAACTTAGCCAGCTTTGTACATATCAATACATGAAAGTAGGGCCACAGTCAGCCAAGATGGAGGTAGTTACTATTTTTTTCAAGGAGAGTCATCCAGATGGTCTTTCACACACAGACTTGCTCAACCCAAAGGCAGAGGACTATAACCTGCATCCAGCCTCACTTACCTTGCATTTTGACCTCCTACAGTAGGCATTAGATGCCATGTTACTCTCTCTAAAAACCTCTCATTGGGCCATGACTTCCTCAACCCCCAGCTATAGATCTTCCCATCATCCCAGGACCTTAAGCATCCCAGTATCTGTCCCTGTCAGAGCTGTGAGCTTTTCTCACTGACCGACTCCCACTCTGTGCTTGTTAGTCCTTTTGGCTATCCCCCTCAGTTCTTTGTTTAGGATACCAAGAACATGGAAACAACTCCCCAAGAGTCTCCATTCAGTAACACTTGGATAACCTGGACCCTGTCTCAAAAATATCACAAGGGTCCTAGGGATGTAGTTGAGTGGTAGAGTGATTGATTCAATCATTCAACACATAGCTCTACACAGATAATTTACTTTTAAATGTAACTTACTTAGAACCAATCTTTTCCAGCTCTGTTCTCCTCCCTGTCCCAACTATATGGGGTTTGCTGTATGTTTCATTTTCACTATATCTGAGCTACATAGATTATTAACTAGCACAATTATATAAAAATGACACAATTATATGGAAATGAAGTTTGACATTCCAGATTTCTGGACCGTGTCCTCCCCCCTTTTATTGCAATACGAAATTATAAAATAACTGAGATCATTTCAGCTTTGTCTTTGTGGATTCAGGATTTGTGTCTTTAGGATTCAGTAACTGTGTATGTAAAACAGGATTTTATTTCAAAGATAAATATAAGCTTTAGCCACACACAATAGACTGTTTTCATTGGTTTATGTTTCAAAAGTAAACACAAGTGTTAACACTATGTGCTAAGATTAAGTGAATTGTTGTATTGAGCTTTTAAGTCAACTCAAACACATTTTTACTAACTGCTCTCAATTATTTTACGTACTTTTTCCATAAAAGTAACTACTTTGTGTCAATTATGAGATACATATATATAGTACCCTTTTTTCATTGACTAGTGATATTTTTATTTTCCTTTTTGGGTTATTAACTGTGTATTAAAGAAAATGGTTTTCAAGCTATTACTTATTTTCTAAATATCATATAAGTTAGTCCTCTCAAATAATTTTTATACTTTCAACCGACATAAATAGAAAAGTTGATGTGATTTGAAACATTGACTGAAGATTTTAGAGCTCTATTAAGAAATACCCAACCTTTTTTTGTACCAGGAATTGACAAAATATTCAGTCTAGTTCTTTATTTCTTATGCAGCTGGAGATTTATTCGGAAAGTCTTTTCCTACGCCTATGTCTTCAACAGTTTTGTCATTTTTGTCTTCCAATAAGTTAAGTGTGTTTGTTCTAATGTTGAGATCTTTGATCCATGTGATTTTTGTTTAGTGTATGGTGACACATATGGGTCTAAATTCAGCCTTTACCATATAGACAGCCAGTTTCCCCAGCATTATTTATTTAAAGAGGAAGTCTTTCCTGCAATGAAGAATTTGGTACCGTTGTCAAAGATAGCATAACTGAGTGTTCCTGGAGTTTTTTCTGCATCTTCATTCAATTGATCCACAAGTCTTTTTTTTTTTTTTCCAACACCATGGTATTTTGATCACTGTAGCTTTAGTATAACTTGAGATCTGAGATTGTGATGCCTCCTACTCTTGCCCTTCTTGCCTAGAATTGCTTTTACTATTTTAGGTCTCTTCTGGTTCCATAGGAATTTTCAGATTGCTTTGTCCAGTTCTGTAAGAAATGTTATGGTATTTTGATTGGAATTGCATTAAATCTGTATCAAAGTTTTTGAAGAATTGACATTTTAACTGTATTTGTTCTGCCTATTGAGGAAGAGAGAATGCCTTTCCATTTGCTGATTTCCTCTTTGATCTCCTTTCTCAGAGTATTATAATTTTCATTATAGGGGTCTTTCACTTCCTTGGTATTTCATTTTTCTTCATACTGTTTAAAAGGTATTATTTCCCTAGTTTCTCTCGTAATGAGTTTGTTACAGGAATGCTATTGGTATACAGGAATGCTATTGGTTTTTGAGGGTT